TTGAAGTATTTGGTGCTCTGAATCCAGATCGATTGAAGGAAAAACATGCATATTAGGTTGATCCCATGTCTCTAACAAACGAGGGGGGAATAGAAGCAGAGATCAGGAAGACTCGGGCCGGCGAGGGATTTGGGATTTCCGCCCCATAACAGATCTGTTCAGATCTGCTAGTCTGTTGTCGGTCTGCTGCTCTCCAATAACAGACGCCAACAACTGGAAACAGAGAGGTGGAGTTCACCGACCGCAATCCACCGCCGTCGCTGCTTCCGTCCACTGCGAATTGCATTCCTCTTCTCCACTTTTCCAAATCTACCGAAAAAGCAGTGTCGCCGCCACACCTGCTACCCTTACTCTGCCTCTATGCTTCACTGCCACGATTAGCCAAAATTGCGAGGAGAAAGTAGTCTTGGCCCGCTTCCATTTTTGGTGAGGCGACTTTGATGTGTGGCTTCTACGGATACTAGATCTGCACCTGATTGTTTCATTCCCGATCTCGAAACGGCTGGAATCCAATCCTTCCTCAAAGCTCGAACGAAGCGCCACTGGGAACCCTGGTTCTGGGTTTCGATTCATGTATTGAAGGCCCTGCTGTTGGCGGATTGAACGAAGCCGTCGCAGTGGAGTAGAGAAGAGGAAGTAGAAGCCGACACCGCCACAAATGCTAGCTTCTTGCTTTTTCGCCCTAGTCGCCGATTCCGCAGCCGGCAGTAGCGATGCTGAAACTCTTCCTCAAGCCGATCACGAGCCCCTGCTCTCGTCTCCTGTGAACACCGCCAAGCTGCAGTGAGATTCCCCATTCAGTCCGGTAAGCTTAGCATCAGAGTAGATGTTTAGATCCATCTGCTGGTCGGGAACTCCGTCGTGGGCGAGAGAGTTTTAGATTTCTTGGAGCTTCGGCGCGTTTGAGTGATTGTGGGCTGTAGTGTCGGCAAGAGTGGTTTGCGGTAGGGATTGAGATTTGGGGGCACGGGTGAGGGAGATGATAATGGAAGAGACAAGAGAGAGAAGGGGACGCACAGATTGATCCTGAAAAAATTCATTAGTTAATGTATGATTATTTTTCATTTTTTCCCATCCACGTGGAAAGGGGTTTTTGTATTCATTCTGAGATTATAGTGTGTATTTTTTATTTTTTATTTAATTTACTTAAAATTTAAAAGGATAAAATTTAATGATTTTCCACCTGGCATTAAAATTGAATAAAATATGCCACGTCAATGGTTGTTGTTAGTCCAGTCAGACTTTTAGATGACACCGTTAAAGTATTGGACGGAAGTGGCTATATTTGGTATTTCTCCAAAAGTGGCTATTATTGTCAAAAAAGCGAAAGTTATGGCTATGAAAGTGTATTTTGCCTATATAAAATTACCCCATACATTATACATTTTGCGAGGAACAAACTGAAAAGAAAAAAAGATTACAAAAATAGAAATGTGAACATTTACTTCTATTCATGAGTTTTATATCTCAGTTCTCATCCTTACAAACCAAGGTTGTTAAATTCCTACCGGATCCCTCTAACCAATCGACCTAAATTGAGCTTCAAAACGATCTTCAGGAAGCTGTCTGCCAGTCTGACCCCTAAAGAGAGAGAAGAAGAGAAGGGGGAAAGAGGAAGAGGAACTATGAAAGGAAGATGGTGGGTGGGTCATGGAGGTTAAGTAGATTTATTTTGTGGAAAATAAGTTTTTAATAGATACATGTAAGATAAATTACATTGCAGTCATTTAATCTTTAAATACTACCTTATTTGTATATATATTAAGAAAACGTCTAAAACGCTCAAATCAATCGGACCCCGATCAGATTATTAAACCTCAAACCCCTTGCTTGACCTGCTCAATGACTTAAACCGGTTTGACAACCTTGCTACAAACCATGGACTAAACTCATAATTCTTCCAAATCCATAACTATTTCATGCTCCATGTCAAAATTTGCTCTTGGTTTATTAATTATGTTTCTTCCAACAATAGCATGTCGGTATATGTGGGATTGATTGATGGTCCGATGAAGAAGAAAGATCACGAATCTTCACAATTATAGTTGTAAATAGCTTGAATCGGATCCATTACGTACGCTCAAGTAGTGAAATCCATTTCTCACTCCCACACCACAAAAAAAAATAAGTGTTGTGATAATAATATTGCTCCATCTCTCACTCTCACACCACAAAATAGTTAAGATAAAGTAAAAAACACAATGCACACAACAATATCTAATCAAAGAAAAATATCATCAGAACAAGTTATAAAGAAAAAGTGAAATCCTACCCCAAAAAAAATGTGAACACCATCCTAAAGGGATGTGTCAGTCTCGGCCCATTCTAAATTAGTGATGGCAATGGGACGGGGCGGGGCGGGTACCTCGATTCCCATGCCCCGCCCCATGCTACTACGGGTCGGGGCGGGTAAAACCCGCGCGGGTACAGGGCGGGGCGGGTCGACCCACTCTTACATGTTGTTCAGAAAAAATACAAGTAAATTTTACTTTTTACAATAAAACGTAGGGGAAAACACTTTAAGAATGAAAAATATTGATAATAGAATGGATAATTGAGCCTAACAAGTTAAAAGATCGACTCTAACTAGTTGAAGAAAAGTCAAAATAGGAGAAATATGTATAGATATTGTAAGAAATTGAGATAAAATGAGTCTAGAACGGGGCGGGGCGGGTCGGAAGTAGATACCCATGCCCCGCCCCACGCTACTGCGGTTCGGGTAATACCCGCCCCATCGCGGGTCAGGTCGGGTAATACCCGCGGGGCGGGTTGAAATTGCCATCACTATTCTAAATAGATAAATTAAGATAGAATTAAAAAAAAAAAAGTGCAGACGTTCAATGGAAACAAAAATAAGTGATGAAAAAAATTAAGCATAGCATTATCAACTTCTGTATTAAACTATAAAACAACCCCAGTAAAGCTATATAGTATATACCCTACTCAAAGACTTCACCAAATACCAATGCAACCACACCCGTTACAAATAAACGACGGAATTAATTGGGAAACGGGTTATATTATATCCCACGGTGTGTTAACAATTCACATATGCAATTTGTCTGAGAAACAAAGCTACAAGTCACGAAGTCGGGACGTGGCTGATTGCACAATGCAGATCACTACTGGCAGCTTCTTCAATTTTGACGGCCATCAAGTCAGCAATGAGCCCAGGCACCAAAATCTCCACAACGCCGCCGCTACCATTGTCCTTGTCCTCATCCGACGTGGCCGTACCGTTCAACTCTGAGGAAGCTTGCTCGTCAAATGTCCGCTTATTGCGTATTCCTCTTGTCAAAATCGGGCAGCTCTATCAGGATGATATTGTCCGCTTTACGTCAAGCCCACACAAATTTATTTTTGGTATCCTTTTCAGAAGACCTTGTTTGTACTAATTAGATTAGATGAACACTAATATACAATGGTTCATATTCCTATATATCTCTCACGTGGTACTTGAATTGTCTATAACACGGTGACATATAATTAATTCGTAATTGATGATAAATATATTGTCAAACTTTGTATAGAACAACAAACTGTTCAGTTGGGTTCCGGCTCCATTTGAGCTGAATTGACTTATCCAAATCCGCCGAACAGTAATTTGCACAATGATGCTTGGAGATGACACTTGACGTTCACCATCTTTTAATAACAGAACAAAGACGGGATCTCAGACGGCGGCCTACCTGAATCCGATGTGCTATTGTCGACCGCCATGCAGGTAGACAATAACGCCACCAGAGCCTCTGGTCCAGAGGAGTAAGGAAGCGGCAGTAGCAGGCGATAGGGAAGACTTTCAAATCCCTAAAGTGGGCTTGATTCTCATTTTATGAGACCAATCTCCACGAAAGGGTACTAGAAATACAAGGGTCTGAGCCCAATTGAAAGTTGAAACGAACATTCCCACTTTGGAGCCCAGTGGATCAATTTACCAAATGAGCCCAATGGAAGGTATTCTACAAGAGTTCGATGAGATGAGGGTTGGGTAATTTCGGGTTGAGAATTTCGGTTACGGGTCGGGGCATGTTTGGTTGACTTATTTTGGGTCAAATATTGACCCAACCAATTTGGATTTGGGTCAGGTTACAGGTCATTTCGGGTTATGAGCGTTCTCAGAAACAATATCAAACATGCTTTCATATTTTCTTAGAGAACACACATTTTCAGATATGCATGACACTAGTTTACGTAACACATGTCAATTAACACATTCTCAAATCCTCCCACACTAATGAAATGAAATATAAATTGCGCAAATCGTCAAAAAACAATCACAAGAGTAATACTACTACAAGAAAAACGTGATATTTGATAATCCTTAAACTCCAAACATGTCATTCAAATCCTTGTGATATTTTTTAAACATCTCACCCATTTATGAGTAATTTTATCATATTTTGGGAGTAATATATTAAATGGAACGGGTCTAACGGGTCGACCCGCTAACACCAAAAAATCACGGGTTATCAAACTCGGGTCATTCAGATTTCTGGTTACCAAAATTTCTAGTTTTCGGGCGATTTCGGGCCGGATTGTAATTTTCCAGGTTTAGGATCGATGATGTCTTCATTGGACGAGGTGACACATATGATTGCTCGTCATGCTTGACATAATATTTAATGTTTTGTTTGTTGGCCGAATTCGTAATTACCGCGATGTGTCCAATAAATTGTGGAAATCCCAGTTTCAGAATTGTGAATGTGTGTGATGTATGTAGTCTAAATTATTTTTTTAAGTATAATAAAATGAAAAAAAATTATAATATCGTTATATAAAAAGTAATTTATTTCTAGTTGTTTTTTTTTCTGAAACAAAATTATAATTAAGTGGCTGGCAGTGAACTAGGGGGTGGAAGAAGCAAGTCAAACGTGCCAACCCCCGCGCACTCTCTATGTTCGACCAAAGCTTTTTACCCGCCACCTTACAAACAATCCAACGCCAAACTCGATCGATCTCATAGCCATGGTGGTTGGACTTTCAGAGAATCCCTCCCTCGCTTGCTATCTAACCGGCTGTTGCCACCCGCCATGCTTCTGGGGGTTATACCACACATTTCCAGCCAATCCCCTGCATTACCTTTAACTAGGCCTCTTCCTCTTTCTGGGTCTCAAATCAAAGCTCCCCCCAGCCCTGTAATTACATACTCAAAGCTTGCCAGGCAAACCGAAAATGGTCGTTAAAGTGTACGGCCCCCTACAGGCAGCATGCCCTCAGAGAGTACTAGCTTGCCTCCTGGAAAAGGAAGTCGACTTCCAAGTTGTCCCCGTCGATCTCGAATCCGGACACCACAAACGCCCTGATTTCCTCGCCAAACAGGTCCTCTGTTTCTTTCTTTCTCTCCTCTCCCAATTTTTCCTTTGAATCATGCAATTGATTAGTTCTATATCTACCCTGTGATCTTGTATAGCCATTTGGGCAGGTTCCCTTTGTCGAAGATGGCGACCTTAAGCTCTTTGGTAAGCCTAAATCTATATTTGTTGAATGACAATTTACCGGGTTTCAGTGGAAAATTAACGGGCTGTGGATGTTTTTTTATGGGCTGAATTCAGAATCGAGGGCGATCATTCGATACTACGCAGCCAAATTCGACGACAAGGGACCGGGCCTGTTGGGCCGGACCTTGGAGGAGAGGGCCCTGGTGGACCAGTGGCTGGAAGTGGAGGCCCACAACTTCAACGAGCCCGTTTACGCGGCGGTGATGCAGCTGGTGGTGCTGCCCCGAATGGGCCTGAAGAGTGACGCGGCCGTGGTGAAAGACTGCGAGGGGAAGCTGGAGAAGGTGCTGGACGTGTACGAGAAGAGGCTGTCGGAGAGCAAGTACTTGGCCGGAGAGAGTTTCACGTTGGCGGACCTCAGCCACCTGCCGGGGCTCCGGTACTTGATCAATGAAGCCGGGATGGCCCACCTGGTGGCGGAGCGGGAGAAGGTGAAGGCTTGGTGGGAAGATATCTCCGGCCGGCCTGCTTGGAAAAAACTTATGGTGCTCACCGGTCTTTGAATTGGACGTGTTCTTCTCTTTTTCCATTTCTGCTCCCTCTCCGAATCCTCTATCAGAGCAGGGCAAGTTGGGTTAAATCTTAAAAATACCCTTTGAATAAAGGCAAAATACACTTGTGTAGCCAAAACTTTGAAAATTTAGCCAAATGTAGTCACTTTTGGAAAAATATCAAAAATAGTCACTTCCGTCTAATTCTTTGACGGTGTGAATTAATAAACTGACTGGACTAACAGCAGCAGTTGACGTGGCATATTTTATTTAAAAATAATATTAGAAGGAAAATAATAAAAAATTTATCCTTTTATTTTAATCAAATTAAATAAAAATCATAAAACCAACAAAAACAACAACTTCGTCTTCTCCTTACAGCAAATTTCGCCATGGTCGCCGACTTCTTTCCCCATCTCCAAAAAAATTCCTCTCCTCCCCAGTTCCCGGAGAAGAAGATGCAAAAGCCCAAGGACAGTTCTGGGTCGATTCTTCTTCGATGGTGTCTAGCCGATTCGCCGTATTATCAGTAGCAGTAAATTCATTGATTGCTTTAGGGATTTCTATCAGTAGCAGTCGATTCGTCGATTGCTCATTTGCTTTTGCCCAGCCGTTGTGTCGATTCCTTCTTCGTCTTCTTCTTCCCGACTGAAATCGATGACCTTCCACAACCCTTCTTCATCCCTCTCTTTGTCTCTTCGTCCTTATCCCACTGGGTGTTGAGATTTGACTAGGGCTGTCAATTCGGTTGTCGGTTAGCGGCTAACCGGCCGGTCTAACCGTTAACCGCCGGTTAGCGGCTAACCGGAAACCGAAAATAATAAGGGTCGGTCGGTTGGCGGAGGCTGTCTGTGGTTAGGCGGTTAGTCGATTAACCGACGCCGGTTAACCGGCTATAACCGACCGACAGTACGACCCCGTTTTGGCAAGCTGAAACGAAAAAAACCCTAGCATCCTCAGAGGCCAGAGCCTCTCGTCTCCTTTTTCACGTTTTGGCCTCCATCTCCATCCTCCCTCAGACCCTCTCCAATCGCCTCCCTCCAAATCCAATCGCCCCTCCAATTGCCGCGCCTCCCGCCTTCACCCGCCGCGCCGCAACCCTCCAACAGGCCTCCATCACAGCCAGTCCGCCATCGCCGCGCTGCCCGGGCAACAACATCAGTGAACAGTCAACACCCGCCGCGCCGCCCGCAACCCTCCTCCAGTCCTCCATCGCCGTGCCTCCAGTCCGCCATCGCCGCCGCGCCTCCAGTCCGCCATCGTCGCGCCTCCAATCCTCCATATCCTTGTTGTGAATTACTCGACAGTCGACAACAAGAATAGATAATGTAAGAACAAGGCGGCTGGGCGATTGCTAGGATTTATGAATGCTCATCTTTTTTGGTCCTTCCCCTGTTTTCTTTACTTTCCTCTGTTCTTGTTCTTCAAACTTGCATTGCATGTATATATTAAGAGTTGCCAGGGGCAATTGTTGTTTGTGGGCGGCGACATGTTGAACGGTTCCCTTTCGGCGGCCATTGTTGTTTGTGGGTGGGTGATTTTGAGAAGTGGGTTCTTGAGTTTTTAGGAGGAATTGGAGGAAAGGGAAAGCTGCTGCCTCGAAAGAGAGAGGAGAGAAGAAGGAGAAGTTTGTTTCTCTACGTAAAAGAGAGAGGAGAGGAGATAAGAGGAAGAAGATAAGGAAAGAGAGAGGAGAGATGTTTGTTTCTGCGTAAAAGAGAGAGGAGAGAGGAGAGAGGAGAGAAGGTGAAGAAGATAAGGAAAGTGTGGTTATGATTTTTTTTCTTTATTTCTTTCATTTTTTTAAATTTTTTTAATATTATCTAACAAGTGGTTGGTTTTTGGCGGTTACTGGTCGGTTAGGCAGCTAAACCGAACCAGCCTTCACATTTTCGGTTGCCCCGGTTAAACCGCATCTAAACCGAAAATCCTCCGGTCGGTTTGCGGCTAACCGGGGCTCTGGGGACGGTCGGTTGACGGTGGCAACTGGTCAGGTCTCGGGTTAACCGAAAACCGAGAATTCGGTTTTCGGTTAAACCGAAACCGACCGGTTGTCAGCCATAGATTTGACCCAAATCGACTAGATACATGGTCGTTCCATTTGTGAAAGCTATCGCCTGTCGTCAAAGCGGATGGATGTCCCCCCGCCGTCGCCTTCTCTATCTTCTTTTCCGACGGTCCCGGTAGGCTGTACTCGAGATCTCCGGTTGTGAAAGGTATGATACGCCTTCGTCTCTCTCTCTCTTTAATTCTCGCTTGTCCAGTCTTCGGTGTCTCTCTATTCCGAACCCCCAGCAGGGTCAACTGAAACGGCGACTGGGTCAACTGAAACGACGGCAGGGTCAGAGGCTATGGAGATGAGCAGTGGGGGGTTCTCTTGGACGATTGAGGTGACGTTTCGACTGCCGAATTGACGGATCTCGGAGGCGGTTCCGTGGAAGCTTTGATTGCTGGAGATTCCTCATCGTTGAAGCCGCTTGATCTGGATTAGGGATTGACGGGAGAGAATTTGGGGAGGAAGGTGAAAGAAAGAATTGAGAAGAGAGGGGTCTTCTGCGGGGCGGCGACAGAGAGAAGGGAAGGGATGTGAGATAAAAAAAATGTATTTATTATTTATTTATTTATTTTGTTTTCAGTTTTCACAAATAAAATAATTTAGTTTAGGTAAAAAAAACTATTTGAAAAAAAAAATTATCCACCTTGAATTATTAAAAGATAAAACAAAATAATGTGGCAATGATATCGATGACTTGTCGGTGACGTGTGTGATGATTTGGCATCCTAGTCAGTCTGATATTAACTTAACTGACGGAGTTTCTAACACCGATAAAGTTTGTAACGGAAATGGATATATTTGTCATGAAACTTTCAAAATTCTGGCTATTATTCATATTTCTCTAAAAGTGGCTATTATTGTGTCAAAGTTTTGGTTACACAATTGAATTTGACCTTGAATAAAAAAGACAAAGGTGACTACACCGTTAAAGTTTGTAACGGAAATGACTATATTTGTCATGAAACTTTCAAAATTCTGGCTACACAAAAGTGGCTAGTATTCCGATGGCCTGTTATTAGTTTTGGCGGTTTATGAAATGAAACCCATAACGTATTGGTCCAAAATTTCTGTCCAACATGCTGGTAGGCTTACATTTACACGTTTGTTTTTTCTTATCCATTCTGTTGGTCTTGGGGAAATATGGCGGTAGCCTTACATTTACACGTATATTAGTTATTTATAGGTTAGTAACTATTGGTTACTTACCCTATTCTAAGCCAAATATGGCTTGATATTTGGTAATAAGAATTTTGTGTATTTTGTAAGAAGTGTGTTTCAAATAGGAGGATTTTGGACAATGTTATGTATCCAATGTTATGTTGTTCGTACAATTTAGTAACTAAACTTATATTTTTCATAAATAGGTCACAAATTTTGGTACGTAATTTTATGTTTTTTACAATTTAGTACCTAAACTTTATTTTTTACAAATAGGTCATTTTTGGCATGTTTTATAAATCTACCTAATCTTATCATAGGCGGAGGCAGCCCAGTTGGACATTGTCCCGGGACAGGGATACATTTTGGGAGGAATAAAAGTACTCCATACATATATTTAAAATAAGGATGGAACACAACACTCAGTACAACGTATTTTGTTACTATATCACAACTCATTAGTTGATCATAAATTGACATTAAATTAATTTATCCAGCAATAACGCCAATTCCACTAGTTTTGACGACAAATGTAGTTAAAATATTTCCAGATTTAAGCTATATCAAGAACGAACTTCGAAGTCGAAATCACGACTAGTTTTGCTAATGGTTGTTTAGTGAGATCCATTGAAAATGACTTACTTAAGAGTGTAGACTGTAGACAATGAATGCATTTTGTGTTTATTTCATAATATGAAAACTAGTCATGGTTGTTTATGAAAATACCAATTGCATTAGTCGTTATTTTTATATATGAAAATAAATTATATGACTTACTTAAGAGTGTAGACAATGAATGTATTTTGTGTTTTTTTTATGAATATGAAAACTCGTCATGGTTGTTTATGAAAATATCCATTGCATTAGTCATCATGATTATTAATGAAAATACTGATTTCATTAGTCGTTATTAATTCAATTATATTTATTAAATATTTATATATGTTTATAATACAAAAAGAGGACATAATTAGTTTCAAATCCTACCTCCGCCACTGTGTATTATAGTACCGAAACTTTTAAAATTTTACAAACTACAATGTGTTGGTATCGGTAAGTTCATAGTACTAGTTGTCATAATGAGTCACTGAATCAAAAAGTGACATGCTCTTAAATTAACTCAACCCTACCCAACTCTTACTAAATAGAAAAATAAACTAATCTTATAAACAAACTCACGGTCTGACCCGACCCAACCAAACCATCTAAGTTCAGTTTCGCTATGGTGCACATAGCATTTTTTGTGTGTATCAACTCACAACACTCTCATTGGTCCACAACACCCAAATCCAAAATGAGTGGTTGAAAATTGTTGGCTTGAAGAAGCCAAATAATGGAGTCAGCTAAGCTTTAAAAGAAAGAGACAGGGACCACCAAGTAAGATAAAAGCTTCTTCCTCCTCTTATTCATTTCTTTCAAATTCATCTTCTTCTTTTTTTTATCACTTTCTCTCTTCATCTTTTTTCTCTTAAACCTCTCAAACTTCTTTCCTTTTATTTTTTCCAGATGATTTCTTCCTCTTTGAAGATAATTTTTGTTAAAAGATGAAAGGTATTCAGACTGCCTACAACTGCCGCTGACCATCTCCTCCCACCGTCAACTTTTTTTTTGTCCTTGTCGTCTCTTTGAGCTCCCCGATTAGCGTTACGTTCATATTCATCCTTTGCGATTCGTCCATCATAAATTTTTTTCCTTCATTTGCATCTCTTTTATTTCTCAGATATGTCAATTCGAAAGTGATTTTTTCTGTTTAGATCAAACAGATCTCTCGTTTTAGATCTACTACTCTCACCATTTCGGATTCGTGAAGGCGGCTATGGTGGACGATGGATCTCACTATATCTAGAGGTGCCGGCGGAGATGGTGGCAACTAGAGAAGTGTAACCAATAGTTTAGATCAATGGGGGTAGGGGTCGGGATGACATGGGCTAGGATTTTTCAGCATGTTCAAAGTTTGGATGAATATGAATTGGATTAGTACTAATAGAATAATATGCAATCTTGTATTGACATCTTCATGAATATGAGTTCACTTAGTACATAATGATTCATTTTTAGTGAATATGAGTTGAGAATTATATTGAATTGAGTTAAAATTCTTCGGTACTAATTCAACTAAAATCTGATACTAGGTAAACTCATATTCAGTACCAAGTTAACTAATATTCAGTGTTTACTAAACACATAACCAAGTCAACCCATATTTAGTATTAGAGAAATATTAATGAAATGATAAATACATATTCACTTGTAGAGAAACTAATATTCAACTTTTTGATACTCATATTCAGTACCAAGTCATCAAAAATTAAGTCTTAAATCAATAATTTTGCGGTACTAGTTCAACTAATATTTGATACGAGGTAAACTCATATTCAATACCAAGTTAGCTGATATTCAGTGTTTACTCAACACGTATTCAGTGTTGATATGGTTTTCAATAATGGTTCATGTGATTATGAATACTGGTTCGACACCTAATGAATATTTGTCCATTTTTTTGGAATGTTTGTTGGTCATGAAGACCTCAGCAATATGTACAGATCGCTTAAGATCTCATCAAATATTTGTTAAACTAGTCAATTAGAATTGTAGGGTATTCATAAAAAAATGGGGCATGGTAACAATTCACATATGAGTGTAAACTGATTAGTATACATTATTGAAAATGAATAGAAAACATATTTTGGTACATAAATAACACATTTAGTGTTGAGTAAACACTAAATATCAGTTAATTTGATATTGAATATGAGTTTATATGGTATCAAATGTTAGTTGGATTAATATCGAAGATGATTGATTTATTCGACTTGAATATTTGTTAGGTCAACGTTGAATGTGAGATAGCCTCTTACTGGATATTAGTTTACTTGGGATTGAATATTAACTGAACTAGTACCGGAGAAGAATGATTTATTTTATACATTCAACTCATTTTTTTTCGCATGTTACTCAAATTTGATACCAACTGAACTCATTACTCCAGATACTTAGTATTTGGGTAAACTATACGATAAATGCACGATAAATATTCATATCCCCCAGACTAATATTCATATTGCCTAGACTAATATTCATATTGCCCAAACTAATATTGATCACACTCCCTTCCAAACCACTCGAAACATCTTATATTCATCAAAATTTCATGGGCCGGTGAATATACAGAAGCTAGTGTGTTGAGGTCGATTTGACCTTGCTCTCCCATGTTTACCCATATGTCATCGGCTGGTTGATCTCTTTCTGGTGAGTGCTCGAAAGAATCGAATCCAAACTCATTTTTTTTACTTCGTCTTTCTTCTTTCTTTAACTGCATATTCATATCTCTTCTAAAACAAATCCATGAACAAACACGAACAAGACATGCATATAAAAAAAAGAAAACCTAAATCTAGATTTTTAGCATCTCTCATGTTTTAAATTTCTTTCTTTGGGGGAAATTTTTTTCCTTTGAAAGAACAGAAGATAGTGGAGAAAGAAAGAGAAAAAAATGAGAGTGATAAGATTATTTTGTTTTGATTTTTGTTGGGAAAGGAAGAGAGTAAGAGAGAGTGAAGTGGTGGTCTAGTGGGATCCACCATTGAGAGTAGGGGTGGCAGTCGGTCGGTTTCGGTTTAACCGAAAACCGAATTATCGGTTTTCGGTTAAACCGAACCTTCCCCCTGTCCACCGACCACCGACCGTGCTATAGGTAGTGGTTAGCCGACCACCGACCGACCGGTTTTCGGTTCTGGTTCGGTTATACCTTAACAACCGAATGATTAAAAAAAAAGGAAAAGAAAGGAAAAAAAACCCAATAACCCCACCCACCCACCCACGTTACTTCCTCTCTCCTCTTTTTTTTTTTTTGGTAATAAGATTGGCGTATTAACGCCTAACTCGTATTAATAATAAGACGTTCTTGGGTGATACCCATTACATCATGGCGGAGCCATTGACCAAGGCCTTGGTCGCACACATCGAAGGAATGTGTGCCAAAATTACAATCATGTCCTTTACATGCCAAAAAATCAGCAGCATGATTAGCTTCTCTAAACACATGTGAAACATTAACCTCCCAATCCAGGCTAAGCAGAGTCTTAAGCTGCTTGGCGATATTACCATGGCGATGGTTGCTGTTGGAGCTTCCCAAGATGATGCTGATTGCAGTAGAAGAGTCCAGCATCAAGTTCACCTTCCTGTAGCCCTTTTCCCAAGCAAGCTTGAGACCTTCTGCAGCTCCCTTCAATTCTGCAGCCGTGATTGAACACTGACCGAGGTTGCAAATAAATGCATCTCTACAAATTCCCAGATGGTCTCTGATTAACCCACCAGCAGCAGCTTTCCCAGTTGATGTAATCACCGAGCCATCCGTTTGAACTTGCATCCAACCCTCCCTTGGTGGTTTCCATCCCACTTCAGATATGACCCGCTCAACATGGTTCTGCTTCCCAGTCTTCTGCTCATTGCAATAAGCCTGCCAAGCAATGCAAAACCACGAGTTGATTCTGGCAATCAAGCCATTAAGGGAGAAAGATTTATCATCAAGCACCTCCTCATTCCTCTGCTTCCACAGGTGCCAGCAGACAATGCCAAAATCAATCCCTGAGCCTTCATTCTTGAGATTAGCCATCAACCAATCCTCCATTGGTAGAGTATGGTTTTTCTCCACAAGTTTGCTCTGCAGTCTTTCCCACACAGCCCTTGCTTTCTGGCAACCGCGCAGGATATGGTCAATAGTCTCTTCTTCAGTTTTGCAGTGAGGGCAGACGTTGTCGGTAGTCATTCCTCTTCTAGATCTTTCCTTGTTAGTAAACAGGCGATCATGAAGCACCAACCACAAGAAATGTTTGATTCTACTCGGACCTTTCCATTTCCAGAGCTCTTTCCAGGGGTGGTTGGTTGAGACATCAACTTCCTCGCTGACTAGCTTGTAGGCTGACTTAAGTCTGAACTTTCCATCCCTTTCAAGCCCCCAAATGGTGATATCCTCACCCAGATCTGGTTTAGGTGCTTCCATCCCTGCAACCATAGTAAGGATATCACTAGGCAAGGAGTCCTTAAGCTTCTCCCAGTCCCATTCTCCCTCATCAGTTGTCCAATCCGCAACCCTCGAACCTAGATCATGGGCAGACAAGTCCCTAAGGGAAAAATCTTCCAACAAGAGGCCATTATCCAGCCAGGGTTGGGACCAGAACAAGGTTGATCTTCCATCACGGACACTCCAGCATGTGGCTTCATTCATGATCTTCATTCCCTTCAGAATAGCACGCCACAAGCTGGAATGGTTGGTCTTTTTCATGGAGGTGATGTTGCCTTCCTTATGCTTGAAGTATTTGTTTTGGATAACCTGGACCCACAAGTCAGAGTCGTTGTTAAGGATATGCCATCCTAACTTAACCATATAAGCCATATTCATACAGTGAGCAGATTTTAACCCCAATCCCCCTTGATCCTTAGGTCTACAGATCTTTTCCCAAGAAACCAGGTGGGGTTTCTTTTTCCCTTCCCCTGAGCCCCACACAAAGCTCCTAACCTTCCTATCAATGGCATCACAGACAGAAATGGGTAGGAGGGTTGTTTGCATAACATAGTTAGGCATGGCATTTAGGACAGAGATAGCCAAAGTTACTCTCCCAGCAAGGGAGAGTGTCTTGGCTTTCCAACTGGACAGCTTTTGATCCATTCTATCAATGACATACTTGTAAGTAAGTTTCGTCATACGACCATGCAATACAGGGACACCAAGATATCTACCAAGGTCATTAGTAGCTTGGATGCCAAGTCTTGTGCAAATCTCATTTTTGGTATGGTTCTTAACGTTTTTAGAAAAGAAAACCCTAGATTTATCCTTGCTAACAGACTCTCCAGAGGCCAGGCAGAAATTATCAAGACAGTTCAGAACAACATCAGCATGACTGGGGGTAGCTTCAGCAAACAAAACTAAATCGTCTGCAAAGAAAAGGTGGGAGAGGGCAGGACCCCCAGGGGAGAGGGAAACAGGTTTCCATTTTCCAGTCTTAACCTCTTCAAAGATGCAATGGCTAAGCCGTTCAACACATAAGGTAAAGAGATAGGGAGATAAGGGACATCCCTGCCTAAGTCCTCTAGAAGGCTTGAAACACTCGGTCTCCCCTCCATTCCACAGAACTTGGAAGCTCGATGAAGTCACACACTCCATAACGAGTTTGATGAAGCTTTCCTGCAGCCTAGCTGCTCTCAGTGTATCCTCCAGGAACTTCCAGTCCAACCTATCGTAGGCTTTAGCAAGATCTACCTTCAGAAGCATGTAGCCTTTCTTTCCAGTTTTCTTAGCCATTGTGTGAACAGTTTCCTGCAGAATGACAATGTTGTCAGTAATGTGTCGATCAGGGATAAAGCTAGACTGATTCTTCTTAACCAGATCAGGCATAAGAGGCTTAAGTTTATTGGCCAGCAGCTTGGCCACAACCTTATAACCCACATTACACAAGCTAATTGGCCTAAATTGGTTCATAGAGGAGGGGTTGTCCACTTTAGGGATCAAAGTTAAGAGAGTATCATTCAAACATTGGATTCTACTAGGGTTATAGAAGCATGACAAAATAAACCTAGAGAAATCAGAACCAATCAGCTTCCAACACTTTTGGTAAAAGATGGCTTGGAAGCCATCTTTCCCAGGGGCCTTAAGCCCATTCATATCCATAACAATGGATCTAATCTCCTCAAGAGAGGGAGGCAAAGCCAACCTGCTCAAGAGGCCCTCATCAAGCAAAGGGAAATCAGCAGGCAAACTATTCAAAGCACAAGAGGTATCCTTCGTGTATAAGTTAAGAAAATACTCCCTGGCCATAATCTGAAGCTCATTTGCATCTCCAATCCAATTTCCTTGGTCGTCCTTGAGAGTTAAGATCTTATTCCTCCTTCTCCGGCTCAAGCAACTGTTGTGGAAAAATCGGGTGTTTTGGTCACCACGGATAACCCAATTGGCCCTGGACTTTTGAATCCACAGTAGCTCCTCTTCCCAGAGAGTGTGCTCTAGTGAAATTCTAACCTCCTGTTCCCTCAACATGGAACTCCTAGATGGTTTCCTTTCATTCAGCGTCTCCAGCGACTTCAGCTCGTTAGTCAACTGCTTTTTCCTCATGAAGATGTTACCATAAACATCTTTGTTCCACTTTTGTAACGCCTCAGTGATTTTCAGGTTTTTACTTCCTCTCTCCTCTCCCTACCAAACCAAAACTCTTCTTCTTCTCTCCTCTCCCTACCACAAAAATCTTATCTTCTTCCTCCTCTCTCTCCTGCCTTCCTCCAAAAAAACCCACCCCATGGCAGAGAGACCATCCCTTTTCTTCTTTCCCTCTCCACAAAATTCTTATCTTCTTCCTCCTCTCTCTCCTGCCTTCTCTCCATTTCAAACCCACAACAACTGCTCCTCTTGTCCCCCCCCCAAATCCCCTCCATGGCCGACGATAGGATCTCCTCGCCGTCGTCACTGCTCCGCCGCTTCTTCCTCCGCCATCCCCACCTGCTGCAATACCACCACCACCACCAGCAGCGCTTCATCCTTCCAGCTCGATTTCCACTCTCAGTCGCCGTCGTCTTCCTTCACCCCTTACGGTCTCGAGCAAGTATCCCGATTCCTCAGTTCATCACCATCATCAGTAGCAGCAGCAGCCAGCCCCGTGGATTTGACGAGAAGGGATTTGATTGGAGACAAGCTGCATGAGCTTTACAATCCCTTTTTCCCCAGATCTCATCATTCTCTGTCTCTCCCTCCTCGGCTGAGATTTTTTTTTTTTTTTTTTGAGGAACAGAGGGCTGGGATTTGAGTACGAAGAAGAAAGAATTAGGGTTGGGGTTTTATTAAAAGGATGACTGGTCGGTTATGTTCGGTTAGTCGGGTAACCGCGGTTAATCCGCCTCGGTTACTCGGCTAGCCGAAAACAAGTTTTATTCCACCGAACACCGACCGAGGCAAATAACCGTCGGTTTTCGGTTAGCTACTAACCGGCGGTTATCGGTTGAACCAGCCGGTTAGCCGCTAACCGGAAACCGAACTGCCACCCCTAATTGAGAGTAAGAGGATGACATGGCTTGGCTTGGCTTAGCCATTTTTTCACTCATTAAGGAGTCGTTTGCTTCATGGATTTAAAGGTGTGGGATTTATTACTTGAAGTCAAAAATTACATTACTGCCCTTTTCTATATGTTTGACATGTTTATGATATGTACACAAAACAAGGACAAAACTTCAAAATTACCTTACTATCATTTTCTATATGTTTGACATGTTTATGATATGTACACAAAACAAGGACAATACATACTAATAAGCATAATGTTGCCACATGGACAATAATAATAAACGAGAAAATTCAGTTTTAACTTTTAACGTAACATAATCAATTACCAATTCTTTGTCCTCCTTTTCAAAAGTGACATATAACAACATATATTAGAATCGGGAGAACAAAGAATTACACGTTCCATGAAAAGGTCAAAGAAAACTATAACACAAGAAATGATATAAAAAATCTAACTCATGTTTGTACATTAATTGAACGTTTATATTATTCATTTATTGTTAATTATAATGTATAATAGTTAAATTTGAGGGCAACCTTGGAATATTAAAAGTGCATGAGGGTATATGGGTAAAATCTCATCAAGGATTTATGCCATATTCCAAATCCCACATCAACATGTGGGATTTATAAGTCCGTGGGGTCCACGGATTTGGACCCTTGAAATCCGTGGGCCCCACGGATTTGGTCTCCAAAAAATGTGCAAGTAAACAACGGATTGTACCTAAATCCTTGATAGTTGGTTTTTTGGTACCAAATCCATGTACCAAATCCTTAAAGCAAACAACCCCTAAATGCTTTCTTAAGCTAACAATTCTCAACTACACATTTTGGCTTTGGGTGATGTGGAACAAAGAGAGTATCGTGAATTGGTGCACAGAAAAAATGCTATGTGCACCATTGATCTAAGTTAGCCAATATTGACAACCGAATTTATCAAGCTGTCACCATATCTCATACCCCACCCGATGCGTAGCCATCCTACCTGCCGCCTTCTTATCTTCATTCTTACTCCTCGAGAATCGGATTGAGCAAAGCGACGCGCGGGAGAACCATGTGTTAGTAATTAGTTGAAGAAAGCGTGGGTAGGGTAGCAATCCTCTGATCCGTCCAAATAACCCAAAACCACCAATCCAATGCCCGCTAGCCGCTATTAGCCTTTCCAATCATCCCACTTCTTTGACCGCTCTTCTAATTTTATATACTGCCTTCAACTTTGACTCTCCTAATCTCCATTATTGCTTTCGTAGTTTGTACCCATCCCCGACCGACCCGATAACCGCCGCCCTTTTTGGGGTCTCTGGCGGAGCCCACCCTCTGGTGCACCTTCACCATTAGATTCACCCGCCACCGCTCACACAAATCCTTTACTGGACTGCATCAATCAAGCAACGCAGTAGCTGTGCTGCTTTAATCAATTTCCCTCCACTTTTCTCCATCTCTCTTCACCAGTTGCAGGTACGCCTCTCTTTTCCTCTCTCAGTTTGTACCTGATTCAATCTGTCGCAACCGTCCCTGGGTCGGGTCGCGTTCGCTTTGGGAGGACAAAATGTGGTGTCTACACAATCCATGTTTTTGTCCTATCATTCCACCAACGGAGGAACGTTGCTTGCGAGATCTGTTTCTTTTTTATTAGCAGTTTCGGTTTGGATTTCGTTCTCGCTGCTTTTTCATAATTTTTTTTTTTTGTAACTGGCGCCACTGGCCCAGATGCTCTTTGCTCTATCTGGATTGGTATTTGAGCAAAAGTTGTGTTCTTGTTGTCGTTCCCTTATCTGGGTTGGCTTCAGATCTCTTTTGGCTTTTCTGAGTGTCGGTATGCCATTGAATGAGCTTTTTCGTATTGTATAAGTTGCTACTTCTTTCACAAAAAAAATAAAAATGTATAAGTGCCTACCGGAAATTTTGAATCCGTGATGAATACCCCTTTCCATACGTATTGAGACTTTGTGGCATCGTTCTGTATTGCAGAAGCGGGTAAGGATTGATTCAAGTGCTAAAGAAATGAACTTGGCTGCGTGCTTGTCAACTTCTGTAGATGTCAAAGGCCCCTGTCACGAGGGTATCTTGTGTGCCAATGTGGGTTTGGTACGGGCCTCCAAGCCCTTTTTGAAAGTTGGTTATTTTACTAAGAATGGAAGTGTTGGAGAATCTTACCGGAATGGTAAGAAGTTGGTGGTAGCTAGCCAGGTTGTTCCTGGACGCTTGCAGGAGTCCTTCATTGGGAAAAATCAGCTGCAGGAGCCTATTCGAGAGGTGGAATTCGTGAGGACACTATTGATTGACAACTATGATAGTTACACCTACAACATATACCAAGAGCTGTCCGTTGTCAATGGGGGTATGGATCTAGTAACTCATGTTTTAAGTTTTGGTCACCCCTTTTAAGCATTTTGGTTACTATGGCATCGGTTTGCTTGTGGTGTGTAATCCAGTTTATTGGATTTATTGGAGATGATATGCTCTGAATCTTTGCCTTTTACCCCCTCTTTTTCTGGGCATTGAAACATCAGTCCCTCCTGTGGTAATTCGAAATGATGAATGGACTTGGGAACAGCTGTGCCATTACTTATATAAAGAAAAAGCATTTGACAATATTGTCATATCACCTGGACCTGGGACTCCAACATGTGCAGCTGATATCGGTAAGGCTCTGTCTGTGTGGAATTCATATTCTTTATTGACTTGCATTTATGTAGAGTAAAACAGTCAAGTGTGAGAATTAGACAACAATGAATATCAGGGTTTGATCCTATGTAGAAGTTTGAGCATTTGGGTGATTCATGCTAAGCGGAATTTGAGCTAATCTTTTATAATAAGAGATTTTAATCAAACTTGGGGACTACTTTTTGTGCATTGCTTGATCTGTTTTTTGTTTCTTATTTGAAGAGGTGTATGTGATTACATTGCCAAATCCATCTGGATCTTACAGGGCTATGTCTCCGCTTGCTACTTGAGTGCAGGGATATTCCTGTTCTTGGTGTTTGTCTGGGCCACCAGGTATTTCCTTCTTCCTCATTGTGGCTTCCCTGCATTTTTAATTTTTTCCCTCAAATGAGATCTGCAGTGTTTACATTAGATTAAAATGTTTTTCATGGAATAGGCCATGGGTTATGTGCATGGAGCTCGCATTGTACATGCAACAGAACCAGTACATGGACGCTTGAGGTATGTGAAATGCACTCCTAGTATTTATCAGTTGAACTTGACCATTTTGCTATCACTGCATTGCACTAGGACTGTGGATGTAAAGTTCCCCTCTCCTTGTGTTCTTACAACTTCTTGTGCTCCTTGCAGTGAGATTGAACACGATGGGTGCAGATTGTTTAAGGATGTACCTTCCGGCACAAAATCTGGCTTCAAGGTAAGTGGTATCTTTGAGCTTTTTTTATTTTTTGAACTAATGAACTTCATTGTGAGATTCAACAATGAGATGATCAATTTTGACATGGACCAAAAACTTACTGATTAGCACAGAGCTCTTTACACTGCAAGACTAATGAAATTGTCTTAATATTACCAGGTGGTACGTTATCATTCTCTTGTTATTGATGCGGAATCTCTACCGGAGGAACTCAAACCCATTGCATGGACTACTTGCAGTGGGACCCATTCCTTCCTTGAAACACATAACTCGAGTGCCCTTCCTCATGATGTTGACCCCCAGATTAAGCATGATGATGTTTATGATAATATTTCACCAGCGATGCAAGATATGAGTTCTCGGTCTTCTAATTGCACAGATGAAGTGCAAAGGAGACGAGTTATCATGGGCATTAGGCATTCTGCTTGGCCTCATTATGGATTGCAGGTTGGCTATTCTAGAAGTATGTATTTTCCTGTTTCTCCCAGTTTGCTCTATTTTTCGTTAAATGTTTGCTTCCTTGAAATGACAGTTCCACCCCGAGAGCATTGCAACTTGTCATGGTAGAAAGATTTTTGAGAACTTCAGGGAGATCACTGAGGATTATTGGCAGGAATTGAGGGGAGCATCTATCAATGGGCATCGTATTCGTTACACCGGTAACCAGAGTTACTACATGGCCTTTCATTATTAGTTGGTTGCCTTGTTTTGTGAATATACTGAAATATCTGCTTTGATGAATTAATGGAAATCCATTTTTTATATCCACTAAACAATGCAAAGGTAATTTTTGAGTTATGTAGTTTGGAGATTCTAGATCGTCTCTGAGTGGTGAACCTTTCTTAGCACGTATGCAGGTGCCAGATGCTTCTCAACTATTTAAAGTTCCCAGGAGCAGGCAGGTGCTATGTAATGGAAGTGCTAAGCCATCTGGAGATGCTTCTTTAAGAAGAGAATTAAAAGGCGATGCATTTGACAACTGTGCTGGAATGTCTAGTAGGCTGAACTCTGTTTCTGGAATAGCTTGTAGTAATAAGCATTTGAAACTAAAATGGAGGAAATTGGATAAATTTGCCGCTTGCGTTGGAGCAAGAAATATATTTTCTGGACTCTATGGCGAGCTTGAAGCGAAGAATACATTTTGGTTAGACAGTTCGTCAGTAGAAAAGGTATTCATTTGTCTGGCAAACCAGTCCTCCTGGTGTCTGCATTAGTACATTCTTGTTCTGGATACTTATAGCAGATATTTCCTTTTCTGCTTCTGGATACGTCTAGGACCGAGCACGCTTTTCTTTCATGGGAGGTGTGGGCGGATCACTTTGGAAGCAAATGACATTCAAGTTGTCAGACCAGAGGTTTGTTTTGTTAAAACTTGATCACCAATTAAGCATTCATCTTCCTTCTGCAGCTTTGTTTCGGATTTGTAAACTGCGAAGTGTAATAATGCTTCTTTTATCATTTTATATTGAAGTGATAAGGCTTTTAAAGGCGGAGGTTACTTATCAGTTGAAGATTCTCAAGGGTCTACCAAAAGCTTATTTTTGGAAAACGGCTTTCTCGATTTCTTAGATCAGGTATGGCTTTTGTTCTCTGTTTCTGGCTATTCAGGACTTGTATGACATGCATCCCTTTCCACAAATAGGCTTATTCTTCTTTCATCTTAGTGGGTGGAGAAGTAAAGCGCATTTTTCTCCAATTCAAGTTTTAAGTATTTACCACAAAACCAGGCAATCTGATTAGAAACTGTCTTGCCACCAGTGAAAATACCATAGTACATAAGAATCTCGTCTGATACTCCTTTTGCTGGCTGATTTTTTTTTTTCCTTTCCAGGAGCTACAGTCGTATGATTACGATGAAAAAGATTTTGAGGGACTACCTTTTGAATTTTACGGCGGATACATTGGTTACATTGGGTAAGCTTATCTTCTATTTGACGTTTTCATTCCCTGGTGGTTATTCTGGCTTTAGAATTCGATAAACAGATCTATTTGCCTTAATAGACTACCTTTTTTTTTTATAATCCATTGATTAGTATCTTAGGTCTGGGGTTTCGTTAAAACGAGATACCCTTTCATTCAGAATAAACTAGAGTTGGCAAAACTAAATGATCCACATCCACTAACCATCTGATGTTGAGCTTTTGTTCTTCACAGGTATGGCCTCAAAGCTGAATGCAGCAGGCTATCCAACAGACATGAATCTGCAACACCGGATGCCTGTTTTTTCTTTGCTGACAACTTTGTAGTCATTGATCATAGCACAGACGATGTGTACATAATGTCAGTAAATGAGGTAGGCACAAGCAGCTCAGAATGGTTGGACGATACTCAAAACCAGCTCCTCCACTTACACCCTACTGCTGCAGCTAATGGATCAAATGGCAAGGTTCTGCAGTCTTCTACCACATTTACTGCAGTCGAGGCTGGTTTTTGCGCTGAGAAATCTAGAACGCAGTATATCGAAGATGTTAAGAAGTGTCTGGACTACATCAAAGATGGCGAGAGCTACGAGTTGTGTTTCACTTCTCAGTTAAGGAAAACAGTAGGAGATATAGATGCCTTGGGCCTTTACCTCCACCTGAGAGAGAAAAACCCTGCACCATATGCTGCATGGCTCAATTTCTCAAGTGAGGATCTGTCCATCTGCTGTTCTTCGCCAGAAAGGTTCCTTCGCTTGGACAGAGATGGTGTGCTAGAAGCAAAGCCCATCAAAGGCACGATAGCTCGTGGCACAACAAAGGAACAAGATGAACAACTTAAGCTTCAATTACAGTATAGGTAGATTATTTGTGATTCTTTCTGTTTTTTTCTGTTAGTTTTCCTTCCTGTCAACTCGCTCATTTGACTGGCTATTTTCCCTTGACACTAACAGTGAAAAGGATCAGGCAGAGAACCTTATGATCGTGGATCTTCTAAGGAACGATCTAGGCCGTGTCTGTGAGCCGGGATCTGTCCACGTTCCACGTCTCATGGACGTGGAATCCTATGCGACAGTGCACACGATGGTCAGCACCATTCGAGGGCAAAAGAAGTCAAATGTGAGTGCAATAGACTGTGTTAAAGCTGCATTTCCAGGGGGGTCAATGACGGGTGCCCCGAAGTTGAGGTCGATGGAGATTCTGGATGGTCTGGAAAGCTGTTCCCGTGGAATCTACTCCGGTTCAATCGGGTATTTCTGTTACAACCAGAGGTTTGACCTCAACATTGTGATCAGAACAGTGGTGATTCATGAAGGCGAAGCTTCTATAGGAGCAGGGGGAGCCATTGTCGCTCTTTCGAATCCTGAAGATGAGTATGATGAGATGCTGCTGAAAACTCGAGCGCCAGCTAGGGCTGTGGTTGAGTTTGAACAGTGAGAACATTGCCAGTGACTCTTAGCAGTTGTTGTTGTACGCTATCCCTGCTTTCCCTTCTTTTACAGTCGCCATTCTTTTTTACTAGTTACAGGCGTTTATTACAGAAGCATAGCAACACGTTGTTTCTTTTTTGACAGACATAGCAGACACATAAAACCATTCAGATAAGGAACTCTTTTACTATATATGTATGTGCCATTCATGAAAGTCTGTAGGTTGAGTAATTGGTTTCCTTGGGGTCTAGTTGAATGCACATGATCCTGATCGGGCCAATTTAAAATGAGAACTCTAGTAAAGTTGGGTTACATGATAATGGCGATGAGAACATCTGCAACTGTTGATATTGCAGCGTGCAGTTAAGACGAACTAGTGAAAGGGAAACTATGTTAGAGTCAAAATTCTTCATATAGTAGCTGGTTAAGTGTCATAGGTTGAACCTATTGGTCGGGTCAGATCACTAATTACACATTTTACATTTCCAAGTCCTTTACCTTTAAAAATGTCATCCCCGTGTTTCTATCCGACCTACATAAGGATTCACTTACGTTACTTGGGCATGATGAATTGGTAAAATTGGATAGTTAGTCAACTCTTAACCGGATAGGAACTTAATATATGCTGGTTTCGATGGTTAGTCACAACATTAATAGTTGACTACCAGTAACCGATTACTAACAGACAATGTTTAATCAAACTACAAATCTGATGAAATAATGATTAAGTTCAATCAGCTCAGCAGTTTCATGTTTTTTTTTTTTTTTGGATCGGAACAGCAGTTTCATGTTAATGGTCTATTTATTATCCGTGTGACCATGTTGAAACAAGGGACTAAATAATTAGTTGTCTATAATTCTATTTTGTTTCCGATTTTATTTTTTTATTCTTAAAGATAGAAATAGGGGAAAAAATAAAAGTAACGGTTTCAATGTGAACCGATTTAACGGACAACCAAACATAGCCCGGCCCGGCCCGGCCCCGCTCAACTCAAAAACCCCGACGACGATTCCCTCCCTCTCAGTCTCAACCAAACTTGACGTAACCACCCACCAAGTTCTGCATTCCAAGTTTCCAACTCCCTCTCCCTCCACAGATTCAATCTACCAACCCTTAATCCCACCTTCCCCCATTTACCTTCTCCTCTAGCTAACTTCCTCCCGATCAGCATCCGTTCTTCTCCATTCCCGCCTCAACTGCGTCCCATGGCTTCTGCTTCTTCTTCCCTCGCTTCTAAGCAGTTCCTCGGCGCTTCCAGGCTCGACGGCCTCGCTTCCTCCGATCTCGGGAAGCTCTCCGTCTCCACCGTTCAAATCTCCGTTGGACCTCGCACTCTGAGGAGGCTCCGTCAGTCTCTGCTCTCTCTCTGTCTTTTCTTATTTTGCTTCAATTGCTCTACTTACGAATTCCCCATTGGAGATTGTTCGAGTTGTTGCTCTACTTAAATTCTCGCGGGAAAACGATTTCGTCAATTTTAGTTAGTTGTTGATTTCCGGATGAGCTTGTTAAGAGAATTGTCTCTGGCATTTTAATTCTGCGGTTCCGTGCTGCGAAATTCTGGAGATCAGGAGGATGAATATGGTTTGTCACTATAGGCTTGCCTTGGCTCGAATTCGAGTTCGCTGATGTTGAATTCGGGAAGGGATGATTCATGGTTATTGTTAGAGTGGTTGATCCTTTCTCAATTCAGTCACAAGCACGCACCATTGGGTATCATTGACAACTGACAAGCTATGTTTTCCTCGTGCTTGCTGTTGGCCCCTCTTGTTTTCACTATTTTCTTTCCCCATTTTCATTGTTTGGGTTTTCATTTTGTTACGACTCCAACTAGAATTAATGTAGTTTCCGTCTTCTCGAGGAATCTTTGCTTGCATTAGAGATGTTACAGATGCAGCCACATTATGTTTGAAATCGTATAGCTACTGTGAACAACTGCTGTTTCTGAAATCCAAAGTTTGGTGATAATGTTAACCGGCCTGGTACATATTTGTCCAGATAACGATTTGCATTCTGAATTTGACTTTCCTGTGTGGTGATCAACAGAAGTAAATGCAGCTGGGAGTATATATGGTAATCACTTCCGTGTTTCCACGTTTGGAGAATCTCACGGTGGCGGTGTTGGCTGTATAATTGATGGATGCCCACCGAGGCTACCCCTCTCTGAAGCTGATATGCAAGTGGATCTTGACAGAAGGTATTCTTCTATTTCCATTATACAGATACATTCCTCTAGCACGGAAAGAGCCTGCTGTAAAGTAGTGTGGTTACTAAATCCCATTTCTAAAAAATCTTCATTGTGAGATAAAAAGTTTCTCCTTAGTCAGTCAACATGTCTGCTTTTATTATATTATCCAAGGACTTTTACCCCATTAATTTCTGTTATCTGTATATAGGAGGCCTGGTCAGAGCCGAATTACCACCCCTAGGAAAGAGACTGATACGTGCAAAATATCTTCTGGTGTTTCTGAAGGTTGAAGTTTGCTGTATGTTCATAATTTTCTTGCAGTATTCTCTTTTGTAACAACATGTTGTAATATATATTATCCGTCAAACAACTGACAACGCATACATATTACAGGTTTTACCACTGGAACGCCAATTCATGTGTTTGTACCGAATACCGACCAAAGAGGTCATGTGAGTATCTGATGTTAGGGAATGAAAATCAAGTTCTCAGTAGGCATATCATTCTTTGTCTGTCTGCTTTACCTAGGAGCATAAATAGTGCCGTTGCTTTGCCATGGAAAAGTACTTTTTTTTTCTATGTGTTAGATTGCAAAAGTGGTTGTGCTTGATATGGATCATCTAATATCGTGGGGAATATGACAGACCGAGGGCTGGAGAGTTACTGGTTGTCTTTTTCTTGGTTCTTATATTTCTAATCATTGCTTCACATTGTTTTCAGGATTACAAGGAAATGTCTTTAGCTTATAGGCCTTCTCATGCTGATGCAACTTATGACATGAAATATGGTGTCAGATCAGTGCAGGTAATGCATATTATGTAGATTGATTTGGGCTGTCGCAAGGAATTAAGAACTTCATCCTTTTTAATTCTTGACTTTGTCTACTGATCAAGGGCGGTGGTAGATCCTCTGCAAGAGAAACCATTGGAAGAGTCGCAGCTGGAGCTGTTGCGAAAAAGATTCTCAAGCAATTTGCTGGAACTGAGGTGTGTTAGGTTGCATCTAAGGATTCAATGTACCTATCTTTCAGAATTCAATGTGATGAGATTTTTGTCAGCAAGCATGACATTTGTTGTTGAATTTGATACAAATTGTGTAAAAGATTTTATTCAGTCACGTAGGAAACTGAAACAAGATAATGCCAAATAATAATAATAATAATAATAATAATAATAATAATAATTCAGGCACTTATGGAACCTTGATAAGTTGATGCAAATTACTTTGCTATCTTCATTGTCAGTTAAAAAGTTTCTCCAGAGTTAGTCAGCATATGTGCTTCAGTGCAGTCTTTTCTGTTTATGCTCATGGTCACTTTCTCAACTTGAGTAGTTTGTTTGAAATGTTTACAGCATACCTTTTCTCCAAATTCTTAGTCCAGTGTAGTTCTGCATGTCCTGCAACCTTGCCAGAGCTTGCTGAAGTTCCATTTTATGCACCTCGTTTATTTTACTGAATAAAAATATCTCCTTGTTGAGGGACTTCTCTTTTCTATTCATCTATCTCTTGTCCAGGTTCTTGCATATGTTTCTCAAGTGCACAAAGTTGTTCTACCTGAGGGCATGGTCGATCACGAGTCCCTGACACTGGATCAGGTATAAAGTCTTGTTACTTTTCGGGGTCTGTTGACATTTTCAACCTGGCATTGGATCTCTTCCATGTTGAATCTAGCCTCATTTATAAGAATAGCAAAATTTCTGTTATCCAGTAATTTTAGTAAGTGACAGTTTGTTTTCAATGCTGGTATTTTTGGGTAAATCTGCAAACTTCTTGTTATGTTGGGTTAAGCTGAGAGATATCAAAGCCATCCAAGTGCATATAGAACTAATAGGCTAGTTTGAAGATTCAGCCTTCTAAGAATGACGTCAACATTATAACATCAAAGAATTCATAACTTAAAAAACACATTCACAATGTCAAAGAATTCATCAAAAAGGAATAACAGAACATTGTAACTTCCAATGAAGGTTCAGCTCACATAATTTCTCTAAAGAATTCATCCAATTTGGACCCATGAAGTCAGAACACAAAAGTAAAGTCGGTAAATATTGAGTAACAATTTTCTAGATATTCATGAGCATTCAAGCTTACCTAATTTTTCTAATGTCCATGCATGCATAAAATCACCCGTCATGAATGGCCATGTACCAGATTATCTCACACCTGAATTTTCACAGATAGAGAGCAATATTGTCAGGTGTCCAGATCCTGAGTATGCTGAGAAGATGATCACTGCTATTGATACCGTCAGAGTGAAAGGAGATTCAGTTGGTGGTGTTGTAACATGTATTGTGAGGAATGCGCCACGTGTAAGTATATCGTAATTGTATCAGTTACTATTTTATTTTAATGGCTGCTTGGGATTAATGTTTTGCTGTATATTTGTGCCAGGGGCTTGGATCACCAGTGTTTGACAAACTTGAAGCTGAACTGGCTAAAGCTGCAATGTCACTGCCTGCAACAAAAGGCTTTGAATTTGGTAGCGGGTTTGCAGGTTGAGAACTGGAACCCATTGTACGGTTCCAAAGTAGTTTTGGTGACTATAAAGTGGATTCTCATACTGCTACTGCCATAATTATGCTGCAGGTACGTATCTAACGGGTAGTGAACATAATGATGAATTTTACATGGCGGGAGACGGTAAAATAAGGACTAGAACAAACCGTTCTGGTGGTATACAGGTTCTTTCTGTGCCATAACTCTTTTGCGAATAACTTTTCTGAGAAAGTATAGTTGCTGACACTCCTTGCATGCAGGGAGGCATATCAAACGGTGAAATCATACACATGAGAATTGCTTTCAAGCCAACATCAACCATCAGCGTAAGTTCCTGTGTGAAAACACGTTGATGATCAATATGAGCTCATTTGAAACGAACTTTTTGCTAGTTATATCACTGTGCATTAAGTAGTTCTTCACCTTTCATATGTGATCATGGTTTCATATTACTTTCTTAAATGCGCAGAAGAGGCAAAACACAGTGACAAGAGATAAACACGAAACAGAGCTAATAGCTCGCGGCCGCCATGATCCTTGTGTCGTCCCTAGAGGTAGATCTTCCAATCACTAACTCCAATGAAAGAGTCTGTTATTGTTCATGATTATCTGGTACGGGAATGCCAGAAGATATGATGTTTATCCTGTTTGGTTGGATGGTTAATGCGCAGCGGTTCCCATGGTGGAAGCAATGGTAGCCCTTGTCCTAGTCGATCAGCTAATGGCACAGTTTGCACAAAATTACATGTTCCCGATCAATCAGGAACTACAAGAACCCTTCGGGTCGCCGAGGCATGAACCTGCTAATGTCTGAATCCCTACACTTGAGATTGGTCCCATATAATTAGCATCACTCTTTGCTTCCTTGCTTGCTTCACCATTGGATTCCTTTTATGTCTATTTCTGGTGGGTCATGGGTTATATGAACAAATGCCTGAACCAAAATGTTATTTCTACTCAAAGTTTTTGCATAAATTAAGGTTATGCAATGAAATAGTAGAGGCTCAGAGGGCGGAATAATGTGCTTTCATTCATATCCAGATGCCTAACCAGCCACGGACTATTTGCAGGCCTTAGGGAGTCTACTGTGCTTCCTTTCCATTATGTGATACATGATTCATATTTCATGGTGTTATTGGTGGAAAGTAGGGTTTCAAATGATTATGACGGTTATTATCAAACTTATTAATTATTAAGTAAAATATTTTAATTAAATCGATAAAATTAAGACAAAAATCAAATAATCAAGTCAAAGGTTAATCGGTTTGATTTATTAGTTAATAGAATGAATTAAAATAACATAACATTATATAAAGGATATTTTTTCCTTTAATTCATCAATCCACAATAGCATAAAAGAATTGGGAATTCCTAAAGTAACTTGAAGTAAGGTAACTTGAATTTTTTACCTGCTATAGCAGGTTTCACAGGTACCATTACGTAAAATACAATAAGCATAACATAATATTTACGTAACCTATACTAATCTTACGTAACAGTTGTAAAAGTTCATCACGGAAGCCTTACGTAATGGACGATTATTTTACGTAATGAATACCAACACAGCATTACGTAAAGTGTAAAGTGATTACGGAAGTCTTACATAATGCTTCCGATCTAACTGTTACGTAAGAAATAGCTGTCGTTCTTAACCTTTACATAATGGAAGGTCTTTTTACGTAATGAGTATTAACCTCGTGTTACGTAAAGTGCTAAGTCATTACGGAAGTTTTACGTAACGCTTCTAATTTAACTGTTACGTAAGAAATAACTATCGTTACGTAACCTTTACGTAATGAATGTGTATTTTACGTAATAACTGTACAATGTTATTACGGAAGTCTTACGTAATTGACAGTTCTTTTACGTAATGAATATTAATCTCGCATTCCGGTCGCCTCCGTCACTCCCGTCAACGTCGTCCGGACTCCCTTCCGGTCGCCTCCTAGAATCCAATAACATTTTTTAAACAACATTAATTATCATACTAGCTAGTTACTGATCATTCTAATTATTAAGCAGGTTTAAAATTAATTACCTGCAACGGTGGCGACGGAGAGGCCCAGCCCAATAATGGAGTAGGCGAAAGACATGACGGCCGCCAGAATGGAGAGCCACGACAGCTTGTGGAAGTTTGGGATCTGGCTAAGCACCAACTGGATGCACCCGAAGATCGCCATGTACGGCGTGTTCGACACGTGGCACTTGTCCGCCCCGTGCCCTTCCTTGTGGAAGCAATTCGATCTCTTCACCGCCCTATAAACAACACCACACGTCACAAAATAAATAAATAAATAAATAAATAAATAAATTTATTAATGGTTGGCAGAGCTAGCTTACACGATGCTTATGGAGGCGGTGATGGTGTAGCCGACGGTGATGGTGTAGCCAACGGCAGGCAGACGGCCTGTTGCACGGAGGAGGAGACACTTAAACATTTGTTTCTGGACTGTCCGGTCGCGAGAATCCTTTGGATAGAGGCGAGGTTGACAAATGCGGTAGAGGGGGCTACCTCAATAGAACTTTGCGATTTTCCTCTGGCGACTCCTTGCCAAGGATGCTTACACTCCTCGGGTGGTGCGTTTGGTTTGCCTATTGTGAGGGATTTGGAATACCAGAAATTTGGTGATTTGGAATACCGAAGAGGCGGTGGTGATGGCGAAGGGAGTGCTATTTGCAGAGATGGAGGATCCGGCACCAACTAGATTTAGCGCTACGATAGGCAATTCAGTGGCGTGTGGACTCAGGGGTGCACCATGCAAGGATAGAGAGGGTGATGTCAAGGTCATGATTCATAAAATAAAGGCATTATTTGTAATCCTCAATAGTGTCTGAAAATGTTACTTGTGTTGTTGTGATTTTGTTCCAGTGGGTTAGATGGAAGAAAATAGTTGCTTCTTTTATTGTCGTACATTATATGTTCTCTGTGTCTCCAGATATTGCTTTACCTAGGAGCATAACTAACACTGTTACTTTGCCCTGGACAAATAGTTTACATATGTTCTACTGTGTCTCAAGCTTTTGCTTGATCTTGGAGCATACCTATTGCTGTTGCTTTGCCATGGAAGAATTGTTTACTTTTGTCCCCCCCCCCCCCCCCCCCCCCCTGTGTGAGATTACAAAAGTGGTTGTGCTTGATACGGATCATCTAATTGCATGGGGAATATGACAGACAGGGCTGGAAGGTTACTGGTTATTTTTTTCTTGGTTCTACTATTTCTAATAATTGGTTCACGTGTTTTCAGGATTACAAGGAAATGTCTTTAGCTTATAGGCCTTCTCATGCTGATGCAACTTATGACATGAAATATGGTGTCAGATCAGTGCAGGTAATGTATATGATGTTGACTGATTTGGGTTGTCGCAATGAAATTAAGAACTCCATCCTTTTTAATTTCGACTTCGTCCACTGATCAAGGGCGGTGGTAGATCTTCAGCAAGAGAAACCATTGGAAGAGTCGCAGCTGGAGCTGTTGCGAAAAAGATTCTCAAGCAATTTGCCGGAACTGAGGTGTGTTAGGTTGCATCTAAGGATTCAATGTACCTATCTTTCAGAATTCAATGTGGAGATTTTTGTCAGCAAGCATGACATTTGTTGTTGAATTTGATACAAATTGTGTAAAAGATTTTATTCAGTCACGTAGGAAACTGAAACAAGATAATGCCAAATAATAATAATAATAATAATAATAATAATAATAATAATAATAATTCAGGCACTTATGGAACCTTGATAAGTTGATGCAAATTACTTTGCTATCTTCATTGTCAGTTAAAAAGTTTCTCCAGAGTTAGTCAGCATATGTGCTTCAGTGCAGTCTTTTCTGTTTATGCTCATGGTCACTTTCTCAACTTGAGTAGTTTGTTTGAAATGTTTACAGCATACCTTTTCTCCAAATTCTTAGTCCAGTGTAGTTCTGCATGTCCTGCAACCTTGCCAGAGCTTGCTGAAGTTCCATTTTATGCACCTCGTTTATTTTACTGAATAAAAATATCTCCTTGTTGAGGGACTTCTCTTTTCTATTCATCTATCTCTTGTCCAGGTTCTTGCATATGTTTCTCAAGTGCACAAAGTTGTTCTACCTGAGGGCATGGTCGATCACGAGTCCCTGACACTGGATCAGGTATAAAGTCTTGTTACTTTTCGGGGTCTGTTGACATTTTCAACCTGGCATTGGATCTCTTCCATGTTGAATCTAGCCTCATTTATAAGAATAGCAAAATTTCTGTTATCCAGTAATTTTAGTAAGTGACAGTTTGTTTTCAATGCTGGTATTTTTGGGTAAATCTGCAAACTTCTTGTTATGTTGGGTTAAGCTGAGAGATATCAAAGCCATCCAAGTGCATATAGAACTAATAGGCTAGTTTGAAGATTCAGCCTTCTAAGAATGACGTCAACATTATAACATCAAAGAATTCATAACTTAAAAAACACATTCACAATGTCAAAGAATTCATCAAAAAGGAATAACAGAACATTGTAACTTCCAATGAAGGTTCAGCTCACATAATTTCTCTAAAGAATTCATCCAATTTGGACCCATGAAGTCAGAACACAAAAGTAAAGTCGGTAAATATTGAGTAACAATTTTCTAGATATTCATGAGCATTCAAGCTTACCTAATTTTTCTAATGTCCATGCATGCATAAAATCACCCGTCATGAATGGCCATGTACCAGATTATCTCACACCTGAATTTTCACAGATAGAGAGCAATATTGTCAGGTGTCCAGATCCTGAGTATGCTGAGAAGATGATCACTGCTATTGATACCGTCAGAGTGAAAGGAGATTCAGTTGGTGGTGTTGTAACATGTATTGTGAGGAATGCGCCACGTGTAAGTATATCGTAATTGTATCAGTTACTATTTTATTTTAATGGCTGCTTGGGATTAATGTTTTGCTGTATATTTGTGCCAGGGGCTTGGATCACCAGTGTTTGACAAACTTGAAGCTGAACTGGCTAAAGCTGCAATGTCACTGCCTGCAACAAAAGGCTTTGAATTTGGTAGCGGGTTTGCAGGTTGAGAACTGGAACCCATTGTACGGTTCCAAAGTAGTTTTGGTGACTATAAAGTGGATTCTCATACTGCTACTGCCATAATTATGCTGCAGGTACGTATCTAACGGGTAGTGAACATAATGATGAATTTTACATGGCGGGAGACGGTAAAATAAGGACTAGAACAAACCGTTCTGGTGGTATACAGGTTCTTTCTGTGCCATAACTCTTTTGCGAATAACTTTTCTGAGAAAGTATAGTTGCTGACACTCCTTGCATGCAGGGAGGCATATCAAACGGTGAAATCATACACATGAGAATTGCTTTCAAGCCAACATCAACCATCAGCGTAAGTTCCTGTGTGAAAACACGTTGATGATCAATATGAGCTCATTTGAAACGAACTTTTTGCTAGTTATATCACTGTGCATTAAGTAGTTCTTCACCTTTCATATGTGATCATGGTTTCATATTACTTTCTTAAATGCGCAGAAGAGGCAAAACACAGTGACAAGAGATAAACACGAAACAGAGCTAATAGCTCGCGGCCGCCATGATCCTTGTGTCGTCCCTAGAGGTAGATCTTCCAATCACTAATTCCAATGAAAGGTCTGTTATTGTTCATGATTATCTGGTACGGGAATCGCAGAAGATATGATGTTTATTCTGGTTGGTTGGATGGTTAATGCGCAGCGGTTCCCATGGTGGAAGCAATGGTAGCCCTTGTCCTAGTCGATCAGCTAATGGCACAGTTTGCACAAAATTACATGTTCCCGATCAATCAGGAACTACAAGAACCCTTCGGGTCGCCGAGGCATGAACCTGCTAATGTCTGAATCCCTACACTTGAGATTGGTCCCATATAATTATCATCACTCTTTGCTTCCTTGCTTGCTTTACCATTGGATTCCTTTTATGTCTATTTCTGGTGGGTCATGGGTTATATGAACAAATGCCTGAACCAAAATGTTATTTCTACTCAAAGTTTTTGCATAAATTAAGGTTATGCAATGAAATAGTAGAGGCTCAGAAGGCGGAATAATGTGCTTTCATTCATATCCAGATGCCTAACCAGCCACGGACTATTTGCAGTAGGGATGGCAATTTCGACCTGACCCGTTTTAACCGACCTGTTTGACCTGTTTTGGGGCGGGTCCGACCCGCCCCGTAGGCGGGGGCGGGGCGGGCATGGGTAGTCTCATCGACCCGACCTGCCCTGACCCGACCCATTCTCGACCCGTTCTTGTCTAAATTACTTGTAATCTTAGTCAAATTACTTAGAATTTTCCTTTTATTGCATCATATTTTAGCTATAATAAAGTTGTAAATTAGTGAAAACCTCAATTTCTCCAATAATTTAACTACAATTATCATATTATTAATTGTTTTCTTAGTCTTATAATAAAAATAACAAATATTTCTAATGTTTTCATATAAATTGCATACCCATTGGGTCGACCTGCCCCGACCCGCGATCTGTGATCAATTACCCGACCTGGACCCGCCCTGCCACGGGGCGGGTCTGGGTACCAAGAAACCCGCCCCGGACCTGCCCCATTGCCATTCCTAATTTGCAGGCCTTAGGGAGTCTACTGTGCTTCCTTTCCATTATGTGATACATGATTCATATTTCATGGTGTTATTGGTGGAAAGTAGGGTTTCAAATGATTATGACGGTTATTATCAAACTTATTAATTATTTAGTAAAATATTTTAATTAAATCGATAAAATTAAGACAAAAATCAAATAATCAAGTCAAAGGTTAATCGGTTTGATTTATTAGTTAATAGAATGAATTAAAATAACATAACATTATATAAAGGATATTTTTTCCTTTAATTCATCAATCCACAATAGCATAAAAGAATTGGGAATTCCTAAAGTAACTTGAAGTAAGGTAACTTGAATTTTTTACCTGCTATAGCAGGTTTCACAGGTACCATTACGTAAAATACAATAAGCATAACATAATATTTACGTAACCTATACTAATCTTACGTAACAGTTGTAAAAGTTCATCACGGAAGCCTTACGTAATGGACGATTATTTTACGTAATGAATACCAACACAGCATTACGTAAAGTGTAAAGTGATTACGGAAGTCTTACATAATGCTTCCGATCTAACTGTTACGTAAGAAATAGCTGTCGTTCTTAACCTTTACATAATGGAAGGTCTTTTTACGTAATGAGTATTAACCTCGTGTTACGTAAAGTGCTAAGTCATTACGGAAGTTTTACGTAACGCTTCTAATTTAACTGTTACGTAAGAAATAACTATCGTTACGTAACCTTTACGTAATGAATGTGTATTTTACGTAATAACTGTACAATGTTATTACGGAAGTCTTACGTAATTGACAGTTCTTTTACGTAATGAATATTAATCTCGCATTATGTAAAGTGTTAAGTCATAACGAAAGTATTACGTAACGCTTCTGATTTAACTGTTACGTAAGAAATAACTGTGTTACGTAATGGGTATTAAGTACAATAATAATTCAATAATAAAATTAAAAAAAAAGACAAATTAATTAAAAAAAGGAAATTGCACAAAAAAAAAAGAAGGAAAGAAGTGAACGGCCGGTCCGGCGAAACTCAAAGGAAGCCGGTTGCCGTTTATTTTATATTTTTGTGTTTTTTTTTTCTTTTTTAATCAATGGCTTAAACTATTAGAATATATTTTAATGGTTCAAATTTAATCAAATTATCTAACTTAAAATTATACACAAGTTACTGTAGGGAGTCCCAAAAGAATTAATATTTCTTTATAGAATAGGCCTCATGCCAGACAATGAAGAATTGATTCATGTAGTTATGGACGAAAGATTGTACCAATATATTGGACTGCTCGTTTCCCCAATAAGAGGCTAATAGTAGGTCACATTGGAGGAGTTATATAGAAACCTGTCTCGTGCAATATGAATATTGTGTTTACACTATGGGAGTTGGTTTTACGCTAGTCATGAAAACATTGACAAGATGATCCACCAATATTGGATTGTGTCATGTCATGAGTTGAACATTTTTTTTTTATCAAGCAACGTCTTTTTTCCTTTGTTTGATTTAGTGTCCTGACCTGCAAAAGTATTGTCTGTCTATTGTCGTATCTCTGTTGTTTATCTGCGACTGCGATGATACCTATGTTGGAAAAAAAAAATTGTTTTCCGTCTATCCAACGAAATTCATCACATGCTCTTTTCTCAATAAACTCTTATTTTATTATTTTCAATCGTAAATTTGTGAAAATGAATATAAACTTTTAGATCTCATAAGATTTGGTTTTCCTTGTTGAGAAAATAATGAATGAGTGAGAGTGAGAGAGCCCATTCCAATTTGTTTTTAATATTACACATGTACATTTATCTTGAATGTCAGTCATTGAAATTGATGAATCCATGGATAATGATAAAAAAATATATTCGGAATAAATTCTGAAAAACACAAAATCTCTAAAATAATTTTTATGGCTGATTTCTCGTTGCTCTTTTTAATTGCTTTGGCTTGAACTTGTAGATACGCGGAGATAAACTAGCTAGGCAATGTGCTGCATTTGTATGAAAGTGGGATTACAATGTTCTCGTTGCTCTTTTTTAATTTCTATGATTTCAGTCTAATTCTTGTAATGAGAACTTCATTGTCTCGTAGCTCAATTATTGAACCGCAAGCACTAAGAGAGCCGACAAGTTGGAGCCGTGCGGACATAATCAGCGTCGTCCAATCAACATTAATTAACGGGCTAAATTGCAAGTTTGGTCACTAGAATTACTTAAAAAATTCACGTTTGTCACTAAAATTAATTTATTCAATCGGTAGTCACTTAAATTAGGTTATCAGTTCAAGTTTGGTCACTGGCCGTTAGTCTCCGTTAACTTTTGCTGATGTGGCGGTCAACTCTTATAGTTGACCGTTAAATGAGTGACGTGGCAATTAAAAAAAATAAAAAATAAATTATTTTTTAATTTCCACCTAATTATTATTATAAAATTTTACAAAAGAAAATCATAACTTGCCGCTAACTTCTGTTCGGTCACCGGGTTAAGAAGGTAAACGCTTGTTGTCGACGCGGCGGCGCCAAAGGGGCCGAAGAAGGACCAACTAGCCGTCGTTGGAGCCCACGCAGCGGCTGGTCCCTATGTTTGTGAACGAGGTGGCCGAGTTCGCCGCCCCATGTTTGCCGCGAGAATTGAAGGAGGGTGTGCGGTCCAGATCGGGGAAGAAGCGATGGGGTGGCCCACATCGAGTTATTGTGGTTTCGGCGACATGAGGATGCCTGGAGTGCCGCGGCGGCAACGCTTGTGGGGGAGAAGGATTTTCTTGGACCCATATTTCGAAATCGTTCCTGAAGCTTACCTGTCAAAATGGTACATGGGCACAAGCAAGGTCTCCGCTGTGACCAGGGTCTGGAGATCTTTGCTGAGGAAGATAGAGCAGAAAGGGTTGAGCCTGGTGAGAGGGGATGAAATTGAGATGTGGAGCTTCAAGAATGTGACAGGGGAGCTATGTTTCATGCTGGTTATGGCTGATTCAAGAAGGAGAGCAGTAGCTGCTGAGAAGGAAGTTGTGGGTAACAAAATGAGGTTGAAAACCCCGGTAGCAGAGGAATGGCCGAGTATGAAAGGCAACAGGAGCAGTGGTGCTAGTTAGCGGCGGAGACGATGGGTACGATGAAAGGAAAGGAATCTAACTTCCAAATGCTCTGGACCTCCATATATATATATATATATAGAAGCATTGATCAAATGTTACATCCTCAAGTAACTGATCCTCGCCCTCTTTTTCAGGGGCTTTAGAATTCTTCTCAATATCCATGTCGGTCTATGAGGTTAAAAGATCCATTGTCTCCTTGTCAACATATTCAAGTACTTGCATTCCTACGACAAGTACGGCCGGGGAATCGCCGATTCATCTACAGCCGTGGGTTTCATTCCTCCTTCGACCTTCTTCCCCAGTCTCTGCAACCCAGGGAGAATCGAACATTGTCGCTTCAAATTTGATGTCTTCAGCAACGCCAAACTTCCTCGCCATTGTCATCCACTACTACCCCGGTCGATCCTCCACGACGAACGAATCGAATTCCACCGCCGGCTAGAACCAAGGTATAATCAACAGTTGGATTCCATTTGTTTTCAAAATGCTCTAAAACCCTAAACGAATTGGGGCGGAAGTAGGAACAGAGAAATCAAGGGATTAGATTGGTCGAACCCGGTGCGCCGGGGCGTAATCATACTGGTATTCGATCTCGTTGTCGAGGATTCGGAGGATGTTGGCTTCGGAAGGCGATTTGGAAGTTGTCAGTGGCGAAAGCTCTGGATTGGAAGAGACAACTAGCGGTGGGCGGCTTGGGGAAAAGAGGAGTTTGGTGATTGTGCTGGAATGAGATCAAGGCTCTGTTCGCAGTACGAAGGAACCTGGAAGCCATTTCTATTGCCGGTGATGTGATTTTCTAAGGTCCTCGCCGGCGGCCTAACCAGGGTTTAACCGTCGAGCAAAATGACTAATAAAAAATTAAATAATTAAAAATTATTTTTTAATTCATTGTAATAATGAGGTGGAAATTAAAAAATAATTAATTTTTTTTTTAATTGCCACGTCACTCATTTAACGGTCAACTATAAGAGTTGGCCGCCACATCAGCAAAAGTTAACGGAGACTAACGGCCAGTGACCAAACTTGAACTGATAACCTAATTTAAGTGACTACCGATGGAATAAATTAATTTTAGTGGCAAACGTGAATTTTTTAAATAATTCTAGTGACCAAACTTGCAATTTAGCCTTAATTAACGTTAACCAAACTTACTTCTCAACTAGTCATTTCATTTCTCTCCAATCAATTATCAATCATCATTAACGTTAACCAACCATTACAAGTAGACTCATTTCATTTCTCCATTCTAGAGAGAGAGCTCCATATATACCACGGTTGTCACGCCGCCTGGTTCAACCGATACCGGTCAGAAAACCAGCGTGACATCACCGGTATGACCGGCATGATCGATATACGAATCTCTAAGTAAAATGATCAAATTTTAGTGAATTTAATTGATAAAAAATATTTTATTATTTATTTTATGAGTATAAAAGTTAAATATTGATGTTATTTGTTGAATTCAAGTATAAATGTTTAGGTATTGACGTTAAATGTCATGCTTAAATATGAGTATTTATGATTTTATTTGTAATCTTGACCGGCATGAACCGACACAAACCGGTATGTGCCACCGGTCGAACCATTCCACTTGCTAAACCGGCACACTGGTATAAACCGGTTTGACAACCTTGCCACAGATGCTATCTACAAAACCTGAGCTCTCTGGCTTCCGTCTTCTCCTGTTCCTCGCTATCACCATTCCTTCATTCTTTCCTCTAAAAAAAAAAAAATTTGACTCCATTCTGGCCTCCTCATGGCTTCTTCTTTTCTTCCCCACGCTTCTACGCACTTGCTCATCCTCGGCGCTTCCAGACTCGACGGCGGTCTCGGGAAGCTCGCCGTTGGATCTAGCACTCGCAGTCGCAGGAGACTTCGTCAGTCCCTCCCTGCTATCTTCTTTCCCCTTTAATAAAGGGTTTTGCTTGCATTTATAGGGCAACGGCCTGTTAACCGCCATAAACGAACTTAGAAGTTAGAATCACACTATCGAAAAACCCACACGTGGTTGGGAAAGGATTCCCTTTAGTATAATACTCTGCTAGATGAATGAATGTACAAAGAACAAGCCACCGTAGGGACAAATGAAGAATCGGATCCAAACTTCTAATTTCCTCCATTTCAGTCCATCGTCTTTGATTGGGAGAATTGTATTCTGACTTTGAATTTTTTTTTCTTCTTCTGTATGGGGATGAACAGAGGTAAATGCAGGTGGGAGTACATATGGGAATCACTTCCGGGTTTCGACGTTTGGAGAATCTCATGGCGGTGGTGTTGGATGTGTAATTGATGGATGCCCTCCCAGGCTGCCCCTCTCTGAAGCTGATATGCAGCTGGATCTTGATAGAAGGTAATTAATGTTGTTTCCATTTGCAATTTTACCCAGTTCCATGGGCAGAGTGAAGTTTCTGCAATTTTTACCCTTAGTACTGTTGTTATCTGTGTATAGGAGGCCCGGTCAGAACCGGATAACCACAGACAGGAAAGAGACCGATACGTGCAAAATATCATCTGGTGTTTCTCAAGGTTGGAGTTTTGCTAAATGTTCATGGTTTGGTTTTGCTTGCAGACAGTACGTAATCTCTTCAGTAATTAACGATATGTTGTAGCATCTATAGTATTTCAACCAACTGACTAGCTAGGCATATGCTTTTCCTTACTACAGGTTTGACAACTGGAACACCGATTCATGTGTTTGTACCCAATGCTGGCCAAAGAGGGCAAGTGAGTATCTGAGGTGACTGGACTCAAAAATGATACTCAGAAAGAATGGCTGTGCTTTTGTTTACTATGGTTTTAATGTTTTTGATCATTGTTTCAGGATTACAAGGAACTGTTTTCAGCTTACAGGCCTTCTCATGCTGATCTAACTTATGACTTTAAATATGGTATCAGATCAGTAGAGGTAACACTGCCTATTTCGTTGACTTGACTGATATGAGCCGTCGCAGTAATACACATAAGACCATTTATTAATGTTTTCACTTTGTCCACAAATCAAAGGGCGGCGGTAGATCCTCTGCAAGAGAAACCATTGCAAGGGTCGCCGCTGGAGCTGTTGCCAAAAAAATTCTCAAACAATTTGCTGGAACCGAGGTGTGTTAGGTTTGATCAATTAACTGATCTGCTAAATCCACTCTAAGGTTTTTTAAAGTACCTGCCTGACAGATTCTACTTATTAGTACTTGTTAACGAACTTGTCTCTCTTCCGTTCCTATATCTGTCCCAGGTTCTTGCGTATGTTTCTCAAGTGCACAAAGTTGTTCTGCCTCAGGATGCGGTCGACCACGAGTCGCTGACACTTGATCAGGTACAAACTCCTGCTGGAATTGCAAAATCTGCTAACTTGTTTCTGCTACGTTGGCCTGATTATCTCATGCCTGAATTTTCACAGATAGAGAGCAACATAGCCAGGTGTCCAGATCCTGAGTATGCAGAGAAGATGATTGATGCCATTGAGACCGTCAGAGCGAAAGGAGATTCAGTTGGTGGAGTTGTAACTTGTATTGTGAGGAATGCGCCAACTGTAAGCACATCATATGATTGTATGATCAGCTGTGTCAAAAATGTTCTTTCAATTGATGCTCGTTCGGGGTTGACATTGTGCCAAAAATTTGTGCCTGCAGGGGCTTGGTTCACCGGTGTTTGATAAACTTGAAGCCGAACTGGCGAAAGCTGCACTGTCATTGCCTGCAACAAAAGGCTTTGAGATTGGTAGCGGGTTTGCAGGTACATATCTAACGGGAAGCGAACATAATGACGAGTTTTACATGGCTGGAGACGGTAGAATAAGGACTAGAACAAACCGTTCTGGTGGTATACAGGTTCGTTTTGTGCTGTAAACTCCTTTTTTTCAGGTAGCTTATATATGGTTGCTGATAGTGTTCTTAATGGTGGTGGGAATTGCAATGCAGGGAGGAATATCAAATGGTGAAATCATACACATGAGAATTGCTTTGAAGCCAACACCAACCATCGGCGTAACTACTGTTTCCTCTGTGAAACAATGTTTTCCACCTGCTGCTGCAACCTGCTTTTTGGGAGAATGGTCTAATATGATATGACATTGTTTGCTTGTGCAGAAGAGGCAGAATACAGTGACGAGAGAGAGACAAGAAATGGAGCTAATGGCTCCCGGCCGGCAAGAACCTTGTGTCGCCCCAAGAGGTAAGTCCTCAAATCACTTGATCATACATGAAAGCTCTGTTTATTATTTGACAAAATTATGTGGGTTGTGATTGGATTGGATGGTTAATGTGCAGCGGTACCGGTTGTGGAAGCCATGGTAGCACTGGTGCTAGTTGATCAGCTAATGGCACAATTTGCACAAAATTACATGTTTCCAATCAATCAGCAACTGCAAGAATCCTTTGAGCTGCCGCCGAGGCATGAGCCTGCTAATGTCTGAAGCCTTGCAATCGAGATTGGTCCTCTTCTTCTATATTTAGTGCATTCACCTTTGGTTCCTTTTACGCCTATTTTGGGTGGGTCATGGGTCCATAACCAGCCAAGGATTATTTGCAGAAGCCCGTAGGAAGTTTGGGCTGAATGCGCTAGTTACCCAAGTTGATGGGCTTATTTTATGTGCCAGCCGAAATGCTCAAGTTGATGAGACAGCCTGATACTGTGCTAGGCCCAAGGGCGGCCCAAATTAGTATTTTTGTTTATCTAAGGCAAGCCCAAAAGGCGAAGTACAATGGCTCAATTGCAATACCTACTGCTAGGGGTGGGCATTGGGTGGGTCGGGTGGATTTTGACCATAAAATGCACCCACCCGCGCTTACACGGATTGGTAATTTTTAACCCACCACCCACCCACATTTAGTCTCGGGTTGGGTCGGGCGGATGGTGGATGATGCGGGTGGGTTTGTGGGTTCACCCACATCACAATGTATATAATATAAAGGAGTCAACTTGACATGATAATAGGTGAAGAGAATCATCGAGGGAAACAAGAAGTTGAAATAGGGCGAAAAATGTTGAATTAGTTCTTAAATTGGATAGAAATTCTATTATGAAAGAGTTTTCTACAGATTGAGACGATTATTAGGTGCAAGAAACTAAGGAAAATAATTCCACAAAGGAAAGAGCGGTGATCTAGGCACAAGAATTAGAGGGAAAAGTAAAGGGAAGAAGAGGGGATCTCTATTTGGAAGGTTGGCTTTGAGGTTCAAACTCGAGGAGCAGTCCGAGTTTATATCTAAAGTCTACACTCTCCTCTCTCTAGCGCCAACAACTTTGATCTTTTTGTTGTTGGGTTGAGCGGGTCACCCGCACACTCACCCACAACCCACCCACCACCCGGCGGATGGCTCCCAGCGCAACCCGTCACCCACCCACTGACTCATCCACTTAACGAAATTCGGGTTAAATGCGGGTGGGTCGGTCCAAATCCGCGGATGATCCGCCCGCATGCCCAGCCCTACCTACTGCAACCGTACTTTATTGAGGTTTGATGAACTCCGAGAAGAAAAAGAGACAAAACACTAGCTCAAATAACTGAAAAAAGAATAACTGCGAAACTGAGGAAAGAACCCCTGTAATAAAATTATAAAAACAAAAGGACTCCTATTGAAGAATTGAAAATGTCTATCCCAACTCACAAGAGGTAGAGAAGCGAGCCTTTCAAGTATAGTTCGAATTACATAATACAACAACAAATATATTTGCATTTGATTTGTGAGTAAGGGAAGGGGTGTCATTAGTTTGATATTAGCCATTAAATCTGAGGAGGCTAATGTAGTAATTTTTGAGAAATAATTGGATTTGCTGTCAGGATGATACTTGTTTGTTTGTTAACAATATTCCTTACAAATCTAACCAACCCATCAATATATCTTTGATTTAATTAAACCTTTCATCATCGTTGAGTTGAGGGCATTTGCTTTTTGTTCATATAGAATATAATCTGTAGGGGCACAATCCCAGAAAATCCTCATTCAGACTCTGAATGAATACCGACATGTATAAATCCAAACCTCAGAGAATCGATTTGATGGAATTTATTTTTTTTACAATTTCGACGCCAATCGGGTTTATCTCCAGCATGCTTATATATTCGGGAATACAACGAGTTTTGTTTGGATCGAATCTGGGATCTGCAACTCCCAACCCTTCATTGTCGGAGCAGCTTTACTGTTAGACTATCTTACCTTCAATCAATTCGATGGAACTTTAACAATAAGAAAAATAAGAGACTAGTCCAATACTTTTTTTTACAAGCCATTTCAATTATTATATATAAAAAGAGATGTTTCCAATCAAGTCACGAAATAATATGATGAGAAAGAGATGCATACAATCGATTTAATCCAATAACTAGAATTATTGGAAGAACTCCAAATTCAATAATTTCTCATGCTAAACAATTGGCTCGGGAGAGCTCGATTCATTGGGTTGAGCCACTAATCCAATAACTTTCTTGGTAAAAAAGAATCAAATATTTCTCATGAAGAAAGAAGGAAAAACTCACAAACAAAGACTTGGTTTAGTGATAATATACCACTAATTTCGACCTGAAGGTCACAAAGTTCGAATCTCTTAAATAGTACATAAATAAATAAAATTTATTACCTTAATAAGAAAATGAAAGGAAGGGAAGCTTAGGAACTATGTAATTTATTTGAAAACAAATTAAAAAGAGGAGATAGACATGCGTTTATGCACACGAATGGGCTATAGTCTTTTTTCTTTAACCCCATTTTGGATTAGGTTGTACTCTTATCTCTATGTGCTGTACAATTAGGACCTCCCTTTTCCAAGCGTCCTAATCCATATTAAAGATAAGGGTATGCAATTGCCAACGAGAGCCCCTAATAATTATGTGGTTATCCCTCTATTCATCTGCCTATTAAACAATTAAAAAACCCACCCCTTCAATAATGATGATGATAATAAAGTAGCTAGATTCCGATTGATGGAAAGAGCAAGGTTAGGTCCTCCCTCCCCTTCATTTTTAGGGACAAGACCCGTGATTAATTTTGTAATTAATTATATAATAATTGTCATCTTGTTTACGATTAATATATGAAATATAGAGGAGAGGGAGACGTTTGCATTATTATTATGGAATCGGGACAAACAAGACAGTGAAAGATAGGTGACCAAACATTACATTAGGGAACAAATTAAAGAGAGATGGGTATCGATCAATAGATGCACTCTCAATTAGATTTGGATTTGGATGGGTAGATGTAGTTATGTGACACATCACAAGTTTTGGAAATGCAGCACTCCCCCACCACATCTGGGCAATTCTCTTCGGTTGTTGTTTCTATGAAAATTTGTGTGTTTAAAGGGACCATGTACCTATAGATTTGGCCTATTTGTGGAGGTAACATAATGAATTTGAAGTAAAATGTAACATCTTTGCTCGCTTGGTCAATTCTTTCTTAATCGAGGGTAGTTTTAATATTGCTTCATTGTAGTTTTCTTTTGCATACCATGATCATAGCATTCTAGGTGTCGTATTGTGGAGTCAAATTATGAGAGAATTTATGAAATACACAAACTTAAGAAGGAAATTATTGTGAAATGTGATAAAAATATAATTGCAAAAGGTTATAAGAATTTACAAGTTATGACATAAGGCTATTATTTCCAAATAATCAGATCAAGTATCTTGGTATTCAAATAAGAAATAGCATTATATGACTGCTCAAACATATACCAATATTCAGGGTCAGGGGATATTCAATGCATTAAAGAGAAATATTCAGTACACGCTAAAAATACTCAAATGCAAGAAAAAAAATTCTATAAAATTGAACACACGAGAAAAGAAGAGTCTTCTCTGTAGTTCAGTTATCGATCGATTTTTTTATCTAATTTTGTCGAATCATTTGCTCAACGGCCAATCTACCAAATAATCAATAGCCAACTATATAGTTGCAGTAAACTGACTAAAAAAGGCAGAGTTCCTACACCAACTACCTTTGCCTAGCGTAGCGTACGATAAGCTCATCTCGAAAGACAAGACGACTTGTTTGTTCGCTTGGATCGACTTCTCCCTTTGACATACTATTTTACATTAGCCTCGATATGAGATATATAGTAAGGTTGACGCATAAGAAAGTAAGTCTACCCTCGTTCTAGAGCTAAAGTAAGAAAGGACTCGACGGTTGTAGTAAGACAAATTGTCTTTGCTCTATCCCTGAGTCAGTTAACATAAATACAAATTATTTATTGTTTAACCAATAACCAAAAAAATTGTTTGCGGTTTTAACAGAACCGACTAACCGCGCCACTAATTTTATAACCCATAAAATCCCTTAAGCGCGTTAGCCGAATTCTGGTTCATGGGTTTTCATGCATTATTGCATGGTCTAATAAAGTAGCAAACATATATACGCAGCCTCTCCTTTATTTTTTTATCGGGTTAATAGCATTTCATACCCCTCTACTATCGCGAATTAACAAACATACCCCTCTACTAATTTTTTGCACAAACATACCTTTTTACTATTAAAACGTAACAAATATACACTTCCGTCTACTTTTCTGTTAAATAACCGTTTAATGAGTTGTGAAATGACTCAATTGTCCCTCATTAACTCTTGATTTAATTATTTTTAATCCCTAACCAAATTAATTTAAAATTGAAACCTACCGACTCCTCAGTCCTCACTTCTCTTCGACGGCCAGACGTTTCGTCTTCCTCACATCGCCGAACTCTCCTCTACACTAGAGAAATATGGCGCCCAATAAATCCGACACTGTATCGACGGCAGCTTGTGTAGGTTCGGCGGCCAGGAGGGAGCGCTTGTACACGTTCTCTTCTCCACGTAAACACACAGTTGGTGACGCAACTCTCTTCTCCCGCGAACATCTGTTGTTGATGCAATCCACTTCTCCCTCCGTCTGTGCGTCCGGCCGCCGGCGCCAGAGAAATCTTGCGCCCAAATTGTATATGTCTATATGAACTGCCAGCTGAACATCCTTTGGCTGCCGAGAGCATAGCTAGCTTCACTATATATATTAGGAGCATCCTTTGGATGAGAGCGTAGCCAGATTTCTATGGTACAGGGGAGAGAGGGGAGTAGAGAGGAAGAAGAAAGGGTTTGTCGTCGGGTTAGAGCGGCTGGGAATGCTTAGATTTTCTTATTTAAATTTGTGGGATAGCTTTTAATTTTTAGAGACATAAAATATATTAAATCAAAAATAATAGTTTTCATGAGTTAATGAGGGCAATTGGGGCATTTAACAGTTTATTAAACGGACATTTAACAGAAAATTAGACGGAAGTATATATTCGTTACGTTTTAATAGTAAAAGGGTATGTTTGTGCAAAAAATTAGTAGAGGGATATGTTTATTAATTCACAATAATAGAGGGGTATAAAATGCTATTAACCCTTTTTTTATCTGTACCTTTCCCGCAAGGTAAAATGTCGTCTTCTTTACAAACATGATTAGCCATATTTATCGAAACCCAAAGCAAGCATCGCAGATCCAAAGCCCTAACTAGCTACTGACATTAACAATAGCTAGGGCATGGCATGATAAAGCACCATTGTCGACCGTCCAAATTAGCACCTTAAAAGGGTTACTTACTAATGGCCAAGGAGAAGAAAAGAAGGAAAAGTTTGGCCGAAAGTGGGCAAGTTTGGAGGCCATAGAGAGAGCGGTGGTGGAGGTGTCAGTTCATCAGTTGTTTGGTACTTGATGATGATTATGGCCAACAATATTTTGCTAAAAAAGCAGCTAGCTGCTGATACTGTTTGGATTAATCACTTAATTGATTGTGTTGAAGCAATTAATCAAGAAGGTGTAACGTAACCACACTGCTCAATCAACAGTGTAGTTAGACCTAGAAAACGGTTTAGCGAATTAATTGGTAGCTAGCTTAATTTGCCAAAGCATGAATATAGTAATGGTGTATAGTTCGTCTTTGGTGGAGCTGATCAGCTAGCTAGCTAGAAGATGTGTGGCTGTTTTTGGGTCTCTTGCTGCTGACCTGATTGATCATCACTGTTCTCTTGGATTGGACATGAAAGGGTTCAGCAGATTCCTCTTCTTTTCTCCTTATTTCAAAAACGTTTGCCTACCTAGCTAAGTTGGGACGGATGATGATGAACCAAATAACGTGTTATTTCGTGTTATTTCAAAATACTGCGTCCCCAATTAACGTGTTGACGAAAATGGGTGCCAAACGAGTTATTTGGGTCCAAATAATTTATTGTTGGGTTATTTGAGCTCAAATAACTCATTACAATCATCCATCCAAACGATCCCTATATTTTTTTGTCATTCTGCTTTATGTTTCTTTCTGGTTACCTTCAAAACGTTTGCGTACCTAGCTAAGTTAGGACTCATGGTGAACCAAGTAGCATCAAAGAGCTTTTGTGTTTAACCGTGCAAAAGAATGACATGAGATTTATAATTAACCTTCTTCTAATAATTCAAATTATTGAGATAAGTTGATTTATAACACTCAACCAATCACAAACCTCTAGGCTACGAATGTTTGGACAACTCAAATCAAAACATCAGGACTGAAACGAAACTATTTTTAAGAGTTAGTTATGAACTTATAACGACTTATGAAGACGCGTTCCATTTTTTCCCTCTTCATGCTGCAAAAAGAGGAGAAAAGGGTTTTCATAAAGTTAGGGCCTATTTGTCTTGCTGGTAAGTTAGGGTCTACGTTCATACAAGTACGCAATAAAAAGCTTCTTTTTGATGAGTTTTTTAGTTGGGGGATATGCAAACTGTTATCATTCATCACCTAAGCAAAGCAAAGATGAAGCTACAAGATATTCCTCCCCTTTTTGACTTATGAGAGGGTTGTGCTTGTGGTGGTGACATGAGGATAACCAAAAGCTTCTATCCATCTTATCCATGACGTTTAGTTTGTCGATTACCTAAAAATTCTTTTAAAGTCGATGAAGTGTATTTAGTTCGGTGTCTATTTACAAGTTGATGTTATTTGTGTTAGTTGCATATTTTTATTTTACATGCAATTTTTGTTATTTGTTTTTGAATGCGAGCTATTATTATTATTTTCTTAAAAAATATTATTGCTTGGTTAAGTGCATTTATATAAAAATTGTGCTAAAATAAAAATGAACATGCATTTGGTAAAAAAAAATCAATCATGCTAGCTATAGGCAATGCATGGCCTCTACTCCAACGTTCATCTCTTCATCATAGTCAACTTTTCTGGTAGAAGCACCCCTGTTTTAAATTGAGGAGGCGTTGAATTCCATTTGTATGAGTGTTCATCCACTAAGAATTTATTATTATTAGTATTATGATTATTATGATTATCATTATTATGAAGTCCTAGCTAATTCAACCAACGTACAAGCATATAATTTGATGAAATAGGACCAAATAATATCATCACCAACCAATCAACCATATATTTTGTTCCACCATGTAGACAAGAATTAGTTGGAGTGCATAAACATAAGACATGGTACTCACCACATTCGCAGGGCCATCTTTTTGTAGAAATTTAACTATTTAAAATGCAGAGCAATTCTATATAGTATAAAAAATTTAGTTGAATTACATTATTTCAATTGTATCATAGAAGATTTGGTAATGAGCATCATAACCAAAGAAATCAGGCATACAAATTTCTACGTATAAAACGATCTTCGTGGGTAAAGTGATAAGCAGAACAAATGATTTCGCGATAAATATAAGTAACATAGACCTATTAATCATGTTGAATAAGAGATATGAAATAAAGCAGGAGATTTGCATTGTTGATGATGGATAATATTTGTAGTTACGTTTAAGGAGATGTTGTTGTTGGTGTTTAGGACATCTCAAATTTGAACGATGTTCTTACGTCTACAAACGCCCTAGTTCCTCCCGTGAATGATTGAGCAACTTTCCAAATATACGGTGTATGCTTCCAAATAAGCAATTCTGTCAGATTTTTTCATGACTCCATCAATTATCGCACTCCTCATCAATTAGATGAAAAAGTCATTATGTGTCGACGTTTTTTTTTTTTTTTTTGGTAGCTGTTTGCAGCCAGAGATACTCTTTCTGTTGGTTTAGTATGGCAAGAATCTATAGATGAGCTCAGAAAACATTCTGAATAATTAACTATCTGTGTGGAGTCTTCATTAATGGCTCTATCTGCACTAGCAGACTGTTGGTAACAGTCAAAGTTTTTGCACAGCCTCACTATAAAACAGGCATAAGTTCCAATTCCCATCCCAAAACCAAAAAGTGAGAACAATTGATGAGACACGGTTGAAGATAAACCCAAAGGTACGACACCCATCAACAAGTCTTCGCTCGTTTCATTTTCACCAATAACAGAGGTCTTCTCTCATTTCTGTCTCAGTCTTTACCCGCATACAGTGGTGATACAGAGCATGATACATATTTATATACTTTGGGGATGCCATGATTCATAAAATAAGGCCTTCAAGGCTAACAAGAAGAAAGACAAGAAGACAGAGGACACAGAGAACATATATTATAGCACCAGTACTTTTGTCTCCACCATCCCCTGGATAAAAAATTTAGAAAAATGTACACTCAAGAGATTCACACTTGCAACTTCTTCATGTCTCTTTTGACCTCCAATCTGAAAAGCCCTTGTATCATGATCACAGTCGAATTTCCCCCTTTCCCATTTCCATTTGCATGGTAGTTGCAGCTCCATTTTAGAGAAGAAAGTAGGGAGGAGGGGAATGGAATGGTAGTAGTGGACACCACAATGCCTGTTCTCTAGCAGGCAAAGTAATCCCACTAAGATCTTCCCCAGCTTTTCATCCATTCATGCCCTCTTCCTTTACTGTGTTCTTTTTTTTCACCTGTCCTTTTCCCCCTTCCTCCCAGGGCAGTCCACTCCTCTTCTTGCCTCTTTTCTTCCTATTTATTTCCCCTCTCCCCTGTCCTTCCACAAAGCAAAAGCTGGCCCCTATAATTGTGTTGTTTGTTTTCTTCTTTTTGGGTTTTCCTTCAATCTTCATATGGGTTGTTTTCACTTCTCTGTTCAGTGCTATCCCTTTCTTGAAATATATGTAGGCTACGTTTTACCTGCAGTTTACAAGCAAGGCAAAAGAGACTTCTGTTTAGAAATTTGCAGGGGAATGAATGGGATGTTTAAACACGAAGATGGACAAAAAGAAACCAAGCACAGAGCTCAAGAATCTCTTATTCCAATGCCTTTTCTTCTTCTTTTGACCATCTACCTTTCGTACATCTCAACACATATTACAGTACCCTTCCAAGGTAGTATTTTACTTGACCATAGCATGAAAGTAACATATTTGGAACAAACTCGTTTAGCGAGGGAAGAGATGACAGAAAAGAACGCATCAGAATTCCAATCCAATCTAATGAGGGTGTTCTATCTCTAGTTGTGTTTTGCACTTGTGCTACATTAACCTCTAGTTCAGTGATCAAGGTTTCTCACATGTATTTGCTTCCAAAGATGGCTGCCCCACAAAAATGAAAAGATGACCAAGCGACCCCGTATAATCCCCAACACAAAAGACAACAGAATGAGTGTCGGTAGACCGACAGAGTTTGGGTGTAGGGTTTCCACCTCATATCCCTTTGTTTTTGTGCTCTCTCTACCCGCTTGTAGTTAGAGCTATATGGTAATGGCGGTGGCCATTTGGCCTCTCCTGAGCTTTCATACACGTCCACCAGCAACAATAACAACTGACTATGAGGCCTGCTGACCTTTCAATCCCAAACACATTGACAATGACAACTTCCATGGCTAAAAATAGAAGACGACAATACATCTCATCATATTATTGCGAAAACATGTAGCTCGTGCTTGAACATCAAAGTACCTAAAGTACCTTGTAACAAATTCACATATCACCTATGTTGAAATCCGTCATCAACTCGACCCCATCAATTAATCTCGACCATATTAACTCCCGAACGACAGATGTAGCATAAAGGCGAAATAAGACGTCATTCGTGAGTCGAATTAGGGTCAGAAGACAAATTTTCAACATAGATGATATGCGAGTCATCGGAAAGTGCTCACTGAGCACAGGTGAACCCTAATAGTAACTAACTTGGCTAATTTAACTTTAGTCTCCAGGGCGTAGAACTGAAGAAATGACAGAACAAATGGACATATTTGTTAAAAGTTATACTATGTGAACTTATTTGTTAAAACGGCATTGTATGGTGATTGAAACCAGTCAAACCACCATCAATAACCCTTCAAAAATGGAAAGCAGAGGCAGCTTGGCCTGCAGTAGTGGCATCGAGACTAGCTACAGAAGTCCTCAGAGAGAAATATACCCCTCCATTAACAACAACCAAAATAAAGGTTTGGTAAAAAAAGGAGAATAAAGAACTCTCCCCTCCCCACTTAACTATCTGGATTCCAAGACTAAACGGTCCTACTAATATGCTCTTTTTCTAAAGGGTAAACCGTATAACTGTAGTTATTAATGCAAAGTTCCAAAGGAAGCAAAAACAAACCACAGTAGCAAAAGATGGTAAGTCACAGAGGGGCAGAACGTATAAAGAAGCTTACCTTGTTTGTTTTGGGGGTGGTTGATTAAATTTTCTTCCTGGGGGTGGTGGGTCTGGGTGGAGTAGTAACTTGCTTGAAAGCAACAGTGGGAGCAATTCTGCAGCTCCTCCTCTGGTGTTCCAGCACGAGCTCACCTGCAAACCAGTCCAGCTTCTCAAAGTTACTCTCTTCTCCTATCCTTTTACCCCCAAACAGCACTGACTCCACATTTTTCTGCTTTAACATTTCCTCTGCCATTCCCAACAGCATCTTCACGTTCTTAGGACTAGGGTCTGTGTCCACATTGCCTTCACACCTCCCTACTCTGGAGGACCCATTTGCCTGTCAAAATTAAAAACCAGTTACTACTTGCAGGAAGAATTCAATCTAAACACCATCCTTTGTTAACCACCAATTATGACCCCTTACTGACCATTACTTCTCCCTATTTGCTGCTATTACATTGCTATTTTACTTCCAAGGTTATGAAAAATTTACAAGAAACCATCAAATAAAACAATGTTCTGATTATGGAGAGACCAATAGGCTATCATCTCAGAGTTGCTGATGAAAAAGTTCAGATTCCTACTTTTCCTTCACAGAAAGTCTCTTGAACTTTTGATTTGAGAGCCCACAATGCTTGAATAGGTTCATTAGAATGGTAGCACCTAACAATCATAAGTGCCATTATTCCTTCTAGTGTCACATATGGTATGCCAGAATGATAAAAACCCATTAAAATCAAATGCTGGTGCTAAATACCAATAATATCAAACATTCATCATCTATGAACAGGACCATCAGGAATTAAGGAGATACTGCTTTTAAGGGTCCCCTCCTCTGCCCCTTATTTGCTTAGAGCAGATGGAAAATAAAGCTTGCAGTAAGCCATTCTAGTTATAAAAGCCAACTGTAATCATGGAGCTACCATCATCTTTTATTAACTACGACGACAGCCCTTCTCTCTGTCCCTTCTCTGAGCCTAAAGCACCACGGACTGCATATTCACTTCCGTATGTTTGTTGTGTAGGAAGAAAATGGTAAGCAGTCCCTCCAACAATCATCCTGCCCTTGTCCTTTAACTAATTATTCTGCCAGCTAATTGTGGTCACTCAAGTTGTTTGCTCTAATGATGAGTTTGAAACTATCATATGTTTCTGAGTTCTGACCACATCATTTTTCCAGCAAATGAAGAAGCTTCAAATGAGCAGCTAACTTAACTGAAATAAACTCAAATTGGAGACCTCAATTGCAAATTACTGAAGCATGTCAAAAGATTCTAACCCCCTTTCCAAGTACAACGATTATGTGTTTTATTTCCCTGGAAACCCAACCAAATGACCAAGCCATCTGGTCGAATTGCAGGCAAACAAACGTTGACGACCATGGAAATCTTTTAGACACCACCACCAAAGAATGAGTGATCTCGACCAGGCAGGAAAACACAAGCAAGCAACATTCCCTGGCCATGTGGCCACACAATGCACACACAATAAACAAACATCTCATTTAATTGCATAAACCCAAGAGAATGAAAAGATCTCTCCCAGCTCCAGCTAGCCTAAATCTGTCCCGAAATTCCCTAACCAATGCCCATACCCAAATATCCACTGCTGAGAAAGGGACAAACTTTGGATTGAATCCTTTTACCATCCCCCCAGCCTGGCCAAAACTGTCTCATGCATTTCAACAACCACTTGGAGGGCAGGGCGTAATCGAAAACAAAGGGAAAAAGTTGGGGGAAAAAGCGATTGATTGGGAATTTGCATGTGAACCCATTACCTGAATTCTCAAGTAGTTACTGCTCCGACATTGACCAAAAGCCATGGCCACCGACTGGTCCACCGAATCTGCGGAGACATCGCCGGCAATTCGAGCCATGGGTCGAGCCCAGTGCTTGGCCCTCCACGTTTTCACCTGTTCGTAATCGTAGCTGACTTCAGGCAGCTGGCCCGTGCCAAGGGATAGCACTAGCAAATCTTCCACGCCGCGGACGAAAGGGAATTCTTGTTTGTTGTGTAGCACGTGCGTGATCGCCGCCGCGGTCGGATTGCTCATCGCTAGCCCGCCGTCGATCGCCAAACACTTGGTCCGACCGTCGATTGACCTTAATTGAGCCGGTTCGAACATCCCCGGGTCGGCCGACGTCGCCCGGCAAACCTCCCACAGCCGGAAATCGAAGCTGTCGGTCTCGAGAGCGTCCGCCCTGGAGAAGAGAAACGGCGCCGTGCTGGACAGGTCGTAGCAAGGGATCAAAACGGGCTTCAATGTGTCTTTAAGAGTCAACTGCCGTCCTTTCTCCGTGAACGTCTCTTTCATTGCTTTCTCCAACCCGCCCGTCGCCGAACCCGACCCGGACGACCCGGACTTGAAAGCCCGCTTCAGAAACCCGCCGGCGCCGTTCCCCGACGACCTGTAGAACCGCTTCCCGTTGTCGGCGAGAAACTGCCACGTCTCCTCCGCCTTCATAATCGGGCGGGTCTGGTCTCTGGACCCGAACAGCATCGCAGTGAAGATGCCGCCGACGCCCGTTCCCGCCGCCACGTCGAAGTAATCGGCGATTCTCGCGTCTGGGTCGCCCGATTTCGTCTTGAGCGCCTGTTCCAGGTAAGCCAGCGCCTTCCCGGCAAGAATCCCTCTCATCCCGCCACCGTCAATTGAGAGTATGCAGATTTTGCCGCGCTGGTTCTTGATTGCAGCGACGCCGTTTCCCCCGTCGGCCGCGGGAATCGCCGGCAACAGAGGGTCGGGCTTCTGCTCCACCGCCAGCGCGGGAGAAATTTGCTTGGGAACCCAGAGCTTCTGATCATCGTAGCCGAAGAGAAACTTGCTCTCGAGGATGGAAAAGATTTCGTAACTGAGTTTGTCGGTGTCGATGCTGGGCTCTTGCATTTCTGAAGATTGATGACAAGCGATTTCCATTTCAGAAAAAACTATCTTCCCCTCAACAGCAGCAATGAAAAAAAAGCTTGGTTACATAAGCTTTTATGATTTTCCTCTGCAACTCTATTCTGCAAATCGAAGGCTGGAATTTGTTTCCAGTTATACGGCCAGCTCCTGTAAGTTGTAACCCCCTTCCGCCCAACCCAACGGTCTTATAACCCACGCCCGGTTGACCTAAGCAATAACGCCTTTCTTGAAAATTACCGCCGGCCCAATTGCATGCTTCTCCAAAATCAAGATTCGGGGTTGTTTGGCAAGTTATGGTATCTCCTCATGGATTTATATATCTTTTTTTTTTTGTCATAATTGTCTGTGTGAATTTACCGAATTTATGTTATCACATAATTTATTATATTTTTGTAACGAATATTACCGTATGGGACCTTCAAATTAAGACGAGTTTGGATAATATCCTAAATATTGGATGTTTTGTGTAATTCCTAGACGCTAGTGATGTAAAACTTGAAACGACATGTATAACAAAACTTTTTACATTTTTAAGCAAAAGCTAAACATAGCCTTTGATTACGGAGATAAAGGCTGGTGTGGAATTAGGTGTAGCTAGGTAGGTATTTTCTCGAGTAGTGGGGTTGCAGTTATCTTTGATTGTAAATAAAAGAATAATAGTTCCATAATTTGCATCAGCAACTAAAAATCGTCTTTAGTCAAAACAAAACAAAAAAACTTAAATTTGTCTGTGTATATTGTATTGTTTGTTGTAGCGTGGCAAACATGACTTATTTGAAAGGAATGGAGAAGACCAAAACATATACGCAAAATTTGTTAACCTAATTACCACGGTAACTTAGTTGGGAGGGGAATAGTATAAAATTTCATTTTTCTATCTCTATTATCAACTCGAGTTATTCAAATTTGAGATCAATCTGTTTTCGATATGGTATAAGAGCCTTCGATCCAGACGTCACATGTTCGAATCCTTATGACCTCAAAATTAATAACTTATTTAACCAAATGTATGGTGGTACTTTGAAAAGCAAATTGATAAAAAAAATCTCGAGTACACATCAAATAGATTTCTGCGAAAAATATTTTCAATAATTATTGTCATGCAATAATTTAATTAAGATTTGTTATTATTCAATTTTTTCAAACATGATGCCTCGCACGACATGGTGAAACTAACCCTAGTTAATAGTTATTGTAATATCTCATACACCCATTTAACGAAATATAAAATTACTGGATTGCTAAATGTCGCCCTTAAAATTGCTAAAGGTCGCCCTAACTTAGATGTCAAATTACCTGTATACCCTTAATGAAAAAATCAAAATTGAAACAAACAAACAAGCCCTAAACCTAAACCTTCTCCTGCGTTCCCTTCTCTCTGCACCTCGCTCCATCGCGCCGAACTCCCGCGATCCCACCCGCGCAGCAGCCTTCGCCGGAGAAGAAGGCTTCGTCGGAGAAGAAGAAGGTAAAAAAAAAAAAAATCGTGCCGACCGCAGTCAAACCGCGGTTAGACCGACGGTCAACCGTGGTCAACGCGCGGTTGAACCGACGGCTGACCGCGGTCAACCTGCGGTTGGACCATGGCCGGACCGCAGGTCATTTGCGGTCCAGCCATGGTCCAACCGCAGGTGATTTGCGGTCCGGCCATGGTCCAACCGCAGGTGATTTGCGGTTCTTTTTTTTTTCGTTTTTCAATTAATGTATTTACCTCGTCGGAGTCGCTACTCCGACGATATCGGCTTCAAAATGACGATGATGGATTTTTCTCTCCTTAGATAGTGTTTTTTTAGTCCAAGTGGTGTTTGTTTGATAAATGGAAGGTAAAGAAGCTAAGGGGGTAAAAGTGTAACTTTGATTCTTTTTAGGGCGACCTTTAGCAATTTTAAGGGCGACCTTTAGCAACTCCCTAAAATTAATGTATTGGACTGACAAATTATGAAAGCTGAAAGCTCTGTTTCACCTTGCCCACAAGTTACTATTTGTGTAAGAATGCTTGGTAATTCATAAATAAAAAAGAATGACCCAATTGATTAGATTGCTCCTTTTTTCCCCACATTGGTTTACATTAGTTATATGAATGGTGACATCCCAAGCACAAAAAGTTAGTTGTGTCAAAACATAAATTTAACTGACAAATGTAAGTTAGTTGGAGCATCCATTATCGACACAAAACATATGGCAATCCAATAATAGAGAGTTGGAAAATCCAAATTTGTGATTGGACTTTGGATAATAACCCAATTAATTTAAAAAGAAATTAAAACCTCTTGTAATCACAATAGATGAATTGATTGAATTAGACACCCTTGGCTATGTGATTTGTTGATATGACTTGAATCGGACTATCAGCCGCTACGACTGGTAATCGGGGGTCTTGCTGTAATCTCCTCAGATATAGTGAAACTGGCTCTCTCTCTGTAATCTGTAATCTCCTCAGATATAGTGAAACTGGCTCTCTCTCGCCCGTGGACGTAGCTAACACACATCGTGTTAGTGAACCACGTAAATCGTGTGTCGTGTTTTCGATTCTCGCTTTCGTATTCTTGCTTTGTCGATCCCGGCGATTTCCCGATCCGTAGCAGCGCGTTTATAACAAGTGGTATCAGAGCCGCGGCTGGAAATCAGGCTAGGGTTTTCGATTCAGAAGAATGACGTCGGTGAACATGAAGATCGAAAAGTTCACGGGGAAGAACAGCTTCGCTATATGGCAGATCAAGATGCAGGCTTTATTAAAACAGCAAGGGCTGTGGGGGCCGCTGTCTGCGAAACAGAAGAAGGCAGCGGTCGATGACGATGAGTGGAATACCTTGGAGGAGAAGGCCCACTCGACCATCATGCTATCGTTGTCTGATGACATCATCATTGAAGTCGCTGCTGAGAAGACTGCCGCGGGCTTGTGGTTGAAACTAGAGAGTCTGTACATGACTAAGTCTCTAACCAACAAGCTGCATCTCAAGCAACGGTTGTTCAGCTTGAGGATGCAAGAAGGTACGCCTTTGAGGGAACATCTCGAACAACTTAACTCTATTTTGCTGGATCTGCGTAATATAGATGTTCAAGTTGATGACGAGGATGCTGCCCTAATCCTGCTGGTTTCTTTGCCGAGTTCATATGAGAATTTCGTTGATTCTTTTATTGCCGGTAAAGAAAGCGTGTCGTTGGAGGATGTCAGGTCTGCTCTTCATACGAGAGAGATCAGACATAAGGCGTCCGGATCTGGTACAGGTGGTGAGGCATCGGGTTTGGCTGTTACAGGTGGAAAGGGAAAGAAGAAATCTGGTAAAGGGAATTCGAGCAAGAATACCAAGGGTCCCGGTCCACAGCCAGGTGATGCTTGTCACAACTGTAAGGAAGTGGGGCATTGGAAGTACAACTGTCCCAAGAGAAGAGGGCAACAGAAGAAACAAGGTTCAGTTGCCGTGGCAGAAGTGGACAACAGTTCTGAAGACGATCTCGCCTTGGCTGTAGATGAGAAGGCACATCGTGGTGATGTGTGGTTTCTGGATACTGCAGCCTCATATCATATGTCTCCGAACAGGGATTGCTTCACAACCTACGAGCAGATAGATGGTGGTAACGTGGTCATGGCAAATGGAGCTGTCTGCAAGGTTGTTGGAATCGGGTCCATAAAGGTTCGGACACATGATGGTTCGTTCTGTACCGTGAATGATGTCAGGCATGTTCCACGAATGACAAAGAACCTGATCTCCTTGAGTCTACTCGACAACAAGGGTTTCAGTTTCAAAGGAAAAGGTGGAGTTGTGTATGTCTGCAAGGGTTCGAGGAAGGTACTGAAGGGCGTGAAGCGTGGGACCTTGTATGCATTACAAGGGTCTGTGTTGTCTGGTTCTGCTGCAGTTGCATCGTCTCAGGTTCAACAGGAGGATATGACCACTCTCTGGCACATGAGACTGGGGCATATGAGTGAACGAGGGATGCAAGTTCTATCAAAGAGGGATCTTCTTTGCGGGCACAAGGTGCAGAATTTGGAATTCTGTGAGCATTGTGTGTTTGGGAAGCTACATCGCAGCAAGTTTCCCAAGAAGGGTATCCACCGGACGAAGGGGATACTAGATTACCTCCACTCCGACTGTTGGGGTCCTTCACGAGTTGAATCCATTGGAGGCAGCAGGTATTTTCTGTCTATTATTGATGATTATTCGAGATTTACTTGGATTTTCATGATGAAGCAGAAAAGTGAGGCTTTCACGAAGTTCAAGCAGTGGAAGACATTGGTGGAGAATCAGACCGGGAAGAAGATCAAGAAGCTGCGAACGGACAATGGTCTGGAGTTCTGCAGTTCTGAGTTCAACGAATTCTGCAAGGATGAAGGGATTGCCCGTCATCGGACTGTTAGAGATACACCTCAGCAGAATGGCGTTGCAGAAAGAATGAACCAGACATTGTTGGAGAGAGCACGGTGCATGCTCTCTAATGCTGGACTAGAGAGAAGATTCTGGGCAGAAGCAGTAAACATGGCATGCTTCCTGATCAACCGTGGACCTCACACAGGTATCGAGTGTAAGACTCCTTATGAGGTGTGGTATGGTAAGCCTGCTGATTACTCTTCACTGAAAGTTTTTGGGTGTCCTGTTTATTATCATGTGGATGAGGGTAAGCTGAACCCAAGGGCAAAGAAGGGTGTATTTGTGGGTTACGGAGATGGAGTTAAGGGATTTCGAGTCTGGTCACCTTCTGAGCATCGAGTTATACTTAGTAGAAATGTGATATTTGATGAGAAGTCTATGTTTAACCCCATGTTGAAGGTTACTGTTGTTGAAGGTAGCAGGAATGTTGATAAACAGGTGGAGCTGCAAACTCTCAATGAGAGTGAGTTTGAGCACCAAGGTGGAGAAGATCAACATGATGAGGATGTCTCTGCAGAGCCAGGAAGTTCAGAGTCCAGTGCACGAGCTCAACAGTCTATGGCTTCCGGTAGACCGAAGAGAGCGACTGCAGGAGTACCTCCACAGAGGTATGGCTTCGAGGACATGGTGGCGTATTCATTTCAGGTTGCTGAAGAAGTGGATGCAGGAGAGCCACAGTCCTATAGAGAAGCAGTTTCGGGTGGTGAAGCTGATCAGTGGCTTGCCGCAATGGGAGATGAGATGGAATCCCATGACAGGAATCAGACTTGGGAGCTAGTCAAACGACCACAGGGAAGGAAGATTGTTACAAACAAGTGGATCTACAAGAAGAAGGAAGGAATCACTTCTAAATAGGGCATGAAATTTAAAGCTCGGGTGGTTGCACGAGGCTTCTCGCAGAGGGAAGGAGTTGACTACAATG